TTCTGCTTCCTCAGTAGATAATAACTATTATTGGCAAATTTCTGAGGGCTTACTCTTGTCAGATAATAATCTAGGCACTACATATTAATTAGTTAATCTTAACAACCACAAGAAGTAAGCTTTACAACCACACTCTACAGATGAAGAAACCAAGGTTCAGAGAGGGTATGTTATTTGCCCAAAGTCACACTATAAGTTGGCTCCAAAATCACTGCAAATCTTGACTGCAGTTATGAAATTATAAGACACTTCCTCCTTGGAAGAAAAGTTATGACCAACCTAGATAGCATTTTTTTTTTTTTTAGATAGCATATTAAAAAGCAGAGACATTACTTTGCCAACAAAGGTCCGTCTAGTCAAAGCTATGGTTTTTCCAGTAGTCAACGTATGGATGTGATAGTTGAACTATAAAGGAAGCCGAGCACTGAAGAATTGAGGCTTTTGAACTGTGGTGTTGGAGAAGACTCTTGAAGGTCGCTTGGACTGCAAGGAGATCCAACCAGTCCGTCCTAAAGGAAATCAGTCCTGAACATTGGAAGGACTGATGCTGAAGCTGAAACTCCAGTACTTTGGCCACCTGATGTGAAGAACTGACTCATTGGAAAAGACCCTGATGCTGGGAAATATTGAAGGCAGGAGAAGGGGACGACAGAAGATGAGATGGCTGGATGGCATCACTGACTCAATGGTCTTGAGTTTGAGTAAACTCCGGGAGTTGGTGATGGACAGGGAGGCCTGGTGTGCTGCAGTCCATGGGGTCACAAAGAGTTGAATACAACTGAGCAAATGAACTGAACTGAACACAGTTAGTAATTGATAGAGCCAGGATGTCAATCAAGGTCTTCCTGACTACACTGTATACTCTCTTAACCACTGTATAGACTGGCTTGAGTCAGAACCATCTCTTCCCAAGATTTATATTCTTCCCAAGAATTCAAAGAAAGATTTGCTCTGGAAATCCAGTACCTTTTTATTTTTTAATTTATTTTTTGGTCACACTGCATGGCACATGAGATCACCACCAGGGATCGAATTCATGCCTGCTGCACTGGTGGAATGGAGTCTTAACTGCTGGACCACCAGAGAAGTCCTCCAGTACCTTTTTTTACATACAGCGGTAAGCTGTGGGGTGGGGGATAAAGCAAGGGATAGTGAGAATCCCTGATTATGAGTTCTTCAGCTTGAGTCACTGTGTGAGTCCAGGTAAAGTTTCTTTTTCTTTGCCAAGTATTCCCATCCATAATGTTGAGATTAAAATTTTGCCACAAAATGGAAAAAGAGAAGAAGAAATTATCAAGGTAAAGGTGAGGGGCAAATATTTGAGTCTCACAGAATGAGGACATTCTTTGTATAAATATAAATTTGAAATGTCACTAATGCTATGGTGATAATTACTACTCTGCCATGAATTAAGTACAGACCAGGGAATCGGTTTCCTAGGTTCATCTGCCTAAATGAAGAGAGTTGGAAAGTATCTGTATATGCCTCTGGCTTTCTGTGCCTGATCTGAGCCACCCACCTCTTTCTCGATGGCTTTCTCAATAGAATGATGCTTCTGAGTCTGCCCTGAGAGAACCACCTATGCACACAGTTCTCTCTCTGCACTCAGCCTTCGCTCCCAGTGGGGTGACTGGAACAGATCAGCCCTTGAAGGAGTGCTTACTTGCAGAGCTCTGTGGAAGAGGCAACCCTAGTACACGTGAAGCAAGAGGCAGGAGAACATGGTGATGTGATTCAGCCTTCCTCAGGACTAACCCTTTTCTATGGCGACACTCAGAGCCGTGGATCCCATCAGCGTGGGCTTCTCAGTATTCTCCCTGCTTCATCTGACCAGGAATGGCAAGTCTAACCTTGTCTTCCTTTGATTGACTGGATAAGTGAACTGTATGTGGGTGTCCGAATTCAGTGCTTTTGTGCTGAGCGTGTCACCGTGCTTCCCAGGGGTTGCCTCCAATCCCGTCTCATCTCAGTGGTTGCCCCTGGTGCTCCCGGGTCACTAGCTTCTTGCGGTGGGTGTGGGACAGGGAAAGGAGACCAGAGGGAGCAACAGAGGGGAGAAGGGGTGTGGAAACAGCTCAGCACCACAGGACTAGCTTTGCTAGCTTCCAGGAATCCCGCAAAGGAGGGATCTGTTTAACTGGCAAAACCCACAACCAAAAGGGACAGAACTGTTTAGCGATGAGCAACTGTAGTTGTCATCTGCATTTTCTGGACAGAGGCAGCCTCCAGAGGCTACCTGAGCAGACTCTTCCTGAGCAGATGTCTCCTTGTTGACCTGGAAATGATTTTTCCAGATAAACTTATCAAATTAATGACTTTTGAATATCAGTGTACATTAAAATCATCAAAGGGCATGGTAAAAATGTGCCCCATTCTCAAGGATTCTCATTCAGTATATCCTGGGTGTAGGCCAGGAATCTGCATTTTTAACAAGCATTTTAGGTGATATAGATTGTCAGTAGACCACATTCCCCAAAAGACTGTCTTAGATTTAGTTCCAGTTTCCATTCAGCCCAATTTTTGAGATAGGCTCTTTCTGCTGCAGTCTATGTATTTTAATCACTTTCTTTATTGAAGGATTTACTAGCATCTCCATGTTTACTGTCTGCTTCATTCTCACATAATCACAGTAACTGGAAAGGGAGTCAGAGATGGTTAGCTCCATTTTATTGAGGGTGAGGGGGTGGAGGTGGACCTGAGGCACAGGGAGAGGTAAGTCGTGATGAGTCAGCCACAGAGGTGGGAACTGAAGTCCAGAATTGATGACTCTCAAACCAGGCAATCTTCTGGGGCCTATTTTCTCAGCTTGTGATTTCATATTTAATCATAGTTATTTCATAGGTGTCCAATTCATTGTGCTTGGGTAAGCAAAGTGTATTTGAGTTTTAACAAAATAGCTTAGCATCCATCAGTGTACTAGTTTTTATATTTAGCGTATTGAAGCTTGTCTAAGCTTGAGTTAATATCTGCCCTGAGAGATGATGTGGAACTGACTTAATGTGCTTCTTTCTGGGCTTGCTTCCTTTATCATTTCTGACTTTTTTTTTTTGGCCTGCTTCATCATACAGGATCTCAGTTCCCTGACCAGAGTCTTAACCACTGGACTGCCAGGGAAGTCCGATGAAGACTTTCAAGAGAATAGATTCCTCTTCCTCATGTCAATAGGAACCCCGCTCTGGTCTTCTGGTTAGAGGACTAAATCAAAAAAACCTCTTAATTTTCTTTCTCTCCAACTTGTGTAGCACTTGGAAAATCTTGAAAACTCTCAGTTTACAGTGTTACTTAAATGTACAGATATAAAGTAAGCATATAATGATCTTTTATTTATAGTTCTTATATAACTAAAAAATATAAATTTACAAGTTAAATACAAATGATATCACAAAACTAATACCATTCAAATTAATATTATAGCAATTTAACATGGCAGATGATGTATTTTGCTGAGACTAAATTATCCCTTATATTGTGATTATGGTATTCCTGTGAAAGCTCAGATTCTTTTGAGTTCAACATACCTACACCAAGTGACCTATATTATCTCAATTTTCCCACCACTTTTCTGTTAGAACTACTGTGACAGCGCAGTCTATGACGTGGTTTGGCTTTCATTTTGTGCATGAAAACACATTTTCATTTTAAATCCACCTCTGTTCTTTTCTCATGATCCCCGAATAGTAAAAGCACCACTAAGACACACATGCAAATGCAGGTATTGAAATCACAAGGCAATACCAGGTTATAAAATGGTCATTCAAATAATCCAGAATGCCTAAATTAAGAATTACTGTTCAGATTCACTGGTTCCCAAACTTACACTACGATCAAAAGCCTTATCTACTGTGTTTACTTCCAAGAACCCCATTTTTTTTGAAGTCCCCTAAATTAGATTTATTGATAATTTTCCTTTTTTATTCATCAGACACATAGAATTACCATTTCAGAGCTTGTGATCACCACAGGTAGCTATCACTCTAAGCTGCTTATAGTCCAAAACAAACAAAAAAAGACAGGACATTCTAGTTATTCCGTGCTGCCTGCACAAGGGTAAATGGAAACTTCCTGCTAAACTTTGCAAGAACTCTCATACCCTCTGACCTCATCCCACCGCTGCCTTTGAGGACTCTTGGGAGTTCTAGAGAGGTCAGGTTAGCCTTTCTTGTACAAGCAAAGTAGCCGCTTCACCCAAATTTGGAAGAATTAAAGCTTGTACTAGTTGTGCTTGATTGTTGTACTTCTAGCATGCTAAAGACCTAAAAAATAAGAGAAAGAAAATACAACAGAAGGCAGCATTCCAGTACCAAACTGAAAAGAAACACAAAAACAAGAGCGCAGCATGTTTTTAACAGCTTGCATGGAGAAAGCGGAAAAAAATATTGACTGGGGAGTTTGGATAGCACTGTTCATTTTCTCTCACCGCCCGCGGTATTTGTCTTAAGGAGCAGGAGCCAGATACAATTCTGGCGCACAGGCCGGAGGAAGGGGTGGAGGGGTTCTGCGGAAGCTTGTAGAAGCCTGAGGATATAGCGGGGGAAATTAGGGCTGGAGACCCAAATGGCTCCGGGCCAGGATGAAGTCGGGGGAGGGAGGCGCTAAGTCTTTTTTCCTCCTGGCCTCGGGCATCCTCTTGGTCCCCTGAGTCCCAAGAGGGCACAGCACAAGTCACTCAGGTAGGTTCCGGACGCCTTCAGATCAGCACGAGCAGGATGAATCCCTGCCCCTGTTTCTTTCGCCTGGGAAAAGGACACGGGGGCTCCTTTCGCCTTCTAAGCCCACCTGTCTTTTGGAGTTCAGACCTACAGCTCCGGAAACGGGGACCTGGCGGGGGTCTCCACCCGCTCAGCAGACACTCGGTTCCCGGACTCCGGCTCCTGCCGACCTCCGGCCTAAGCCCCGCCTCTCAGGGCGCGGGGCGGGGCCAGGGCGCGGGGCGGGGCCTGGGCGCGGGGCGGGGCCTGGGCGCGCAGCAGGCGGCTGAGACCAGGCCGAGGAGGAAGAACATGGCGGGCGCGGCGGGGCCTGCCGCCGGCTCAGGGGTCGCCGGCGGAGATGGAGACGATTCGCTCTACCCCATCGCGGTCTTAATCGACGAGCTCCGCAATGAGGACGTGCAGGTATTGGAGTCGGGCCCGGCAGTGGACGCGGGCTCGGCCGGGCGCGTGGTAGGGAAGGGGGCCAGCCGGCACCCGTGGTGGGGGGAGGCCCGGGATTGAAAGCCGGGACTCGGAGCGGAAACTTGACGGGGAGGAGGGGAGGGCCCCGTGAGGGGTTCTGGTGGCTTGACCCGGCGGCCCCGGAGCCTGCCCCTCACGCCTTGTTCTGACCCGCCGAGGCGGCGGCCCGGCGTCCCACCTGGTTCTGGTTGCTTGTGGGGGAACTGGCTTGCCGCCCGGGCGGCCTTTCTGGGCCGGGCTGAGGAAGCCGCGTCCAGCCCGGGGCCAGCGGCGCCCGTAGCGGGGCGAGCGGGAGGCGGGCGGCGCGGGGCCCGAGGGGCTGCAGGACGCCGAGGCACCTTGTGAAATGCAGGGGAATGACTGCCTTCCTCGCGCCCTGCTGGAAACTGGCTCGGCTTGAGTGGAAATTAGGTGGGGTGGCTAAACTAACTTAAAGGAGGCGGGATGTCAGCTCTGATGGAACTTTTCATTGAAAAGCCTGGCGTGGTACTCAACCATCTCACCTGCTTCACCACTGCTAAAGTAATCTCTTTTTAAAATTGTCTCGCTTTTCCGGATATTGTATTTTCTTTCATTTCTTTAATGGGCCCGTCAGAGGGTTTCGCCTGAGAAATCTTCCTTTAGCTAGAGAAGGCGTGTTCCCTTGTTTTTGAGGTTCCTCATAGAATAAAGTGTAAGTTAAAGGTTTTTTTTCCTTCTTATCTGTATGCAGTTACTTCACCTGTTTGTAGCTACTCTCTTTTGGTCTAAATCACAACTGCTGCTTTACTTCATTCTTCTTTCTACTTTTTTTTTTTTAAAGCTCCGTCTCAATAGCATTAAGAAATTATCGACAATTGCTCTAGCACTTGGAGTAGAAAGGACACGAACTGAACTGCTGCCATTCCTTACAGGTATGTGACTCTTTGAGGAAAGCCCTGGGCATTTCTGTTTTCCAGTGGCTTTCAAAACTTGGACTGTTGTTTTGAATTTGTTGCCCATAGTATTAGTAAGTACTAAACTGAGCCTGTTGTTTCTACTGTGAAGAAACAGGGCAGAGCATATATTGTAATGTTGTGGCCGGACATATTCAGATACTAACTATTTAGCTAATAGAAAAGTAATTGATGTGCGATTATGAATTTCTAGTTCCTTCTGTAAAACAAATCCATGAAGACACTTGATTGAGAAGGAGGAAAAGGCTGTTAGGATGGCGACAGATTGTCTAGTTACATATGGAGTCTCTTCCTAGTTTTGTGTGAGTGTCCAGCTTTGGGCCAGCTATCTTTGTTGATGAGTACTGGGTTCTTGTCATTTCCAGATACAATTTATGATGAAGATGAGGTACTGTTAGCTCTTGCTGAGCAGCTGGGAAATTTCACTGGCCTGGTGGGAGGTCCTGACTTTGCCCACTGTTTGTTGGTGAGTATATTCTGCCTGCTCTCCTTCTAGAACTTTTGCAGTATAAATAGTACATTGTTTGGTGATAGGCACAGTGCAGCATTTTTTATGCAGATCTTTTTATGGATAGTCACAGTGTTAGCTTTTGAGAGAACATATAATGTAGGCACTTTGGACTCAACCTTTCTTATTTTTTCTGGTTGTGAATGTGGGAACTTTCTCTTTTCTGACTTGTTACTTTAGCAGTTAGGAGAAAAAGGACTGGATTGTTTCTGTTCATGATTTTTTCCCTCTTATAGTGGAAATCTTAATTCTCATCTAACAATACAGTGGCTTTGGAAATGTTTATTAGTTTTGTCTTTAATTGTAAGTGTAACTTTTGATTCTGACTTCTTTGTGAATTTCATGAATTCAGTTTAATTCAGTTTACATTTATTGAGAGCCTTCTGTATCAGGCACTGAAGTTACAACGTTCATGTTAAAGATGAGCATTGTGAGTGTAATAAGGCCTCTGTCCTTTAGTGTCAACAAGTAATTACTATGTGGTGTTAGATGGAAAAATTTGAAGCACATAAAAGAGAAAGGGATTAACCCAGGGTGATCAGGGAAGATCTCTTTGCGAGAGAATGTCTGAACTAGGGTGTGAAAGATGACTAGGAATTTGACAGCTGCCCAGGATGATGGGGTTGTATGCTTCAAGGCTTCAATATTGGCTGTATTATATTGCTGACTCTCATGACTTCTATCTTTACCTCTGACCTTTCCATGGAGTTCCAGATACAGATATAGGTAGAAAGATATAAATATCTGTGTTAGTCTCTATATGTCTGCTATGATTTTTCTACTTGGGTGTCAAACAGGCATTTGAAATTTAGTACGTCTAAAACAGGACTCAGTTTTTTCCCCCAAAATGTATCCTAATTAGTTGTCCCATTGCAGTAAATGGCATCACCATCTACCCAGTTAGTTGCACAGCCAAAACCTGGAAGACATTCTTGAATCCGTTTCCCCTCACTTCCCACATCTAATCCGTCAGTAACTCCTGTAGATTTTGCATGTATTCCAAATCAGTTCTCTTTCTTCCATCTCTACTACCACCTAGCTCATCTTTCCACTGGTCTTTCTAGACCACGTGGTCTTTCCTTTAGATTATTGTAGTAATCTAGTTGCTTTCCACTCATGCCTTCTGCCCCACCACTCCAGTTCACTCTTCACCCAGAGATGGATCACTCACTCCCTGCCATGGTTCTTAGAAAATTCATAATTTCTACCTTAGTTTGTACCTTAGTTTATAAAATTTGCCCCTATGAGCTTATCTCATATCATGTTCCCTCTTAATAACCTCATTCCATTCACAATAGTCTTCCTTCTGTTCTTTGAATACACCAAGCTTATTGCCCTGGATAGTCCTTATAATAACATGTGTTTTTGAGCTTCCTATGACTGACTCCTTATCATTTAGATGCCAGCTTTAATGCATCTCAGCAATGCCTTCCCTGACATCTCAACCTGAAATTTCTTTCCCAATCACCCCTTACCACATCATCTTTGTTTTTACCCCCTCTTTGGCTATACCACACAGCTTGTGGAATCTTAGTTCCCCAACCAGGGATTGAACCCGGGTCCTCAGCAATGAAAGCACAGAGTCCTAACCATTAGGCCGCCAGGGAATTCCCTCTGTTCTCTTTACAGAGCATTCAACACCATCTAGTTATTTTCTTGATTAGTTGTTATCTTCCGCCATTAGAATGTAAAACTGTATTCAATGTCCTATGATAAAACGATGATGGGAAAGAATGTATATGTATAACTTAATCAGTTTCCTGTACAGCAGAAATTAACATAACATTGTAAGAGCACTGTACTTGAATAAAGTAAATCTTTAAAAAATTAAGAAGAAAAGTCAAACGACACCCCCCCCACCAAAAGTAAACTAGCACAAAGAAATCATGGCCTTATTTCTTCCCTCTCCTCAGTGCTAGGATATAAAAGTAATTATCATTTTAAAAGAAAGAGTTTAGGAGCCTTGGAAGCGTGAAACTGGTTGATTGCAAGAGTATAAACTGTTGGTGCTGGAGTAGGCGGAATTGGTGGTCCCAGGGCTGTAGGAAAAGGTCATGGAGAAATAGGCCAAGTTTCAATCAAGAGACAGGAGTTTGTTTTTCTATAGTAGCGATAGAGATTATCAGTGATACTGCATGAAAGGAGGTCAGAGAAGGCAGTGGACAGATCATGTAAGGGCTTTGCTTTTAAGAAAGCAATATCTTTTCAGAGGGCTTCTGAAATTTCCCTTAGGAAAGCTGAGTACCTTGTATCAAATAATTTTTGAAATGTATTATGTAGACACCCTTGTTTCCTTTGACTCATGATTCTGTTTCACTCTCCTGGTCAGTTCTACACGTGGGTTTTGTCTTTAACGTCGGCACTTCATGGTGTATCCTGAATCTGTTGGGACCGAGTGCAAACCCGGAAAAGCAGCAGTTCAGAGAATCAGCCCTCTGTACTTCTCCCTGGGCTGTGCCGTGTTCACTCACTATCCTCGTCAGGGCCTAGGCCAGGGCTTTGGTCTCTACTGTTTCTAAAGCTGCAAGCAAGGTTTCCTGTTTTCTCTGTACCTTTCATTTAATTGTTCTTTCATAAACTCCTACTCTATGTCTAGCTCATGAAAAAATTCTGGATGTATTCTGAGAAAAGTAATTTTGCACTCAGCCTCTAATAGTTTGGAAAAGTCAGTGGCGTGGAGTGAATTGGCAGAGGTAACTTCCACCTCCAGGAATGGTAGAATGATACTCCAGACGCCATGGACTCAGTGTTCTGATGCAGTGTCCTCGTGTAATTGTGGTGCCCGGTGGTGGTCATGTTTTTGCACTTACTCTTGAGGAAACATACATGATTCTGTCGAATTTGGCTACATAGCTTTTAAATCTAGTGATTCAGCTCACAATAATATTAATATTGTGTCAAGTCTCTTCCACCATGTCATTCGTAGACACCATCTGGGAATTGCCATCTGGGACATGAAATCTTGGCTGTCCTACAGAAGTCGTGTCTTCAGGTTGGACACACCATATGTTATCACCGTGTGAACTGAAAGTAACCATTTGGTGTGATGTAGCTAACATTCTGGTTACTTGTCCCACCTCCCATCAGTCACTTTAAAAGGTGGTAATCTGTATCTAACCTGACTGAGTAAGTTTTCTCTCTGGTTTTCCATTTTGGTCTATCCAGCCTCCTCTGGAAAGCCTGGCAACTGTGGAAGAGACTGTGGTTCGAGATAAGGCTGTGGAGTCCCTGAGGCAGATTTCGCAGGAGCACATGCCAGTGGCTCTGGAGGCTCACTTCGTACCTCTGGTGAAGCGCTTAGCGAGTGGGGATTGGTTCACCTCTCGCACATCTGCATGTGGTTTGTTCAGCGTTTGCTATCCCAGGGCTTCCATTGCTGTCAAAGGAGAAATTAAACAGTAAGATATGGTATTTTGGGGGGTTATTGGGAGCCCACAGCTGACAGGTTACACAGTACCCTGTTACCAATGAGTGGCTGGTATCAGGGTAGTCAGATTGATGACAACTGTTAGGAATGTCCAGTGAACATACCAGTGGGTTTTCCTTTGTTACTGCTATGAGTAGAAGTCTAATGCCTGATGTTTGTAGGATAAAACGTCTGAAATTTCTTTGTGTGTTGGGGGGTTGCTTAATCAGTGGCATGTAACAGGAAATAACCTTCATTATTTTATTTGCTGCAGGTACTTCCGTTCCTTGTGCTCAGATGACACACCAATGGTCCGACGTGCTGCTGCTTCCAAACTGGGTGAATTTGCAAAAGTTTTGGAATTAGACAGTGTGAAAAGTGAAATCGTTCCTTTGTTCACTAATCTAGCTTCAGATGAACAGGTAATTGAAGTACACAAATATGCTCTTATATTTGAAGAACTTCTTTGGGTGTTTTGGTACTCGTGTTAGGATCATTTTTTTCAGAATTATTACTTAATTCTGGCCTGGCTAAAGTTTAAGATTACCCATCCCAGTGTCCTTATAATTCTTTGTTAGCCAAATCATGATTTTCTTTTCCATTTAGCAGCTGTTGAAGGGGAGTCAAGGAATTGGGAGCCATAAGTAGGAAGGAAGGCCAAAGCTACATTAAAGAGTAACTATACCTTTGGGTACTGCAGGCTGAATTATTGTGGGACAGTCATGTTTCCTGGAATTTTTGGCGTTCAGATAAACAAGCATAGCATGTATTGGGAAAGCTCTTAGACCCCTCTGCATCCTCTGTATGAGTGTATAGGATAACTTTGCATGAGGGCAGTTACAGATCCAAGGATCTCCATCTCATCAGTGTAGAAATTAGCAATAATAATGGGTTTCCCTGGTGACTCAGTGGTAAAGAATCCATCTGCCAATGCAGGAGATGGGGGTTCATTCCTTGGTTTGGGAAGATCCTCTGGAGGGGGAAATGGCAACCCACTCTAGTGTTCATTCTTGCCTGGGAAATCTCATGGAAGAAGAGACTGGCAGGCTACAGTCCACGGGGCCGCAAAAGAGTCAGACACGACTTAACGACTAAATAATGACAAAAAGCAATAATAATACACTAGTAAGCACCGAAATGAATATTTTTCAGCCTGTTTTAAGTGGTTTACATATGTGAAGTAATTCAGCCCTTACAACAGCTCCATGAGGTCATTACTTTCATTTTATATATTTGGAAACAGGCACAGGAATCGGAGTAAATTGCTCGTGGTTGCATAGTGGGTTGTGTTGGAGTGTGGACTTGAGTCTGCGCAGCTTAGCTCCAGAGTTGCGACATTCACCGCTAAGCCATAGTGCTCTTCTTTGTGTTCTTTGGAGAATCAGCCCCCTAGAAGATCAATTTACTAGTTCCTGCCCGCAGATCCCTGTATGTGTACGGGATCAAGAGCAGCAGATACATACCTTGAGTCTCGTTTTCAGATTCTAGATCTGAAGATGATAAATCTTTCAAAATAATTTTTAAAATGTATTAATGTATACAAAGCAGTACAAAGTGAATATGCATCTTAAGTATTACAAGGCATGCTATCCTATAACTTTCATCTATGAAAGGAAACAGTTTTCATAGCCACTATCCAGGAAGCCCAGCATGATCTGCCTCCCAAACAAACACCCCTCCCAGTTCCTACTCCCTATCCCCTTAAGACTGTAACACTTGATTGTATCTTGATTTTTGTGGTAACCACCTCCTTACTTTTCTTTGCATTTTTACTATTCATAAAGTATGGTTTAAAACAACAGTGTCTAACAGAAATACAATGTAAGCTACCTGTTAATTTTAAGTTTCACAGTAGCCATAGTTTAAAAAGTGAAAAGCAGGTGAAACTGATTTCAATAGTGTATTTTATTAACCCAGTATATCCAAAGTAACTACCATTAGAATGTGTGGTACTAGTTACATTTCAGATACTCAGAAGTAGGTAGTAGGTAGGATAAGGTTGTCACATTGGAGAGCACAGGTTTAGAATCCTCATTTGAGATTTTGTTGATTACATTTCCCATGGATAACTCAATGTCTTCTTTTGTCCTGCAAAATTGGTAGTTGAATCTAGAGTGGAGATTTGTGAATTTTTTCTGTGAAGGGCCAGATATTAAATATTTTAGGCTTTGTGGACCAGACAGTCTCTGTTGTAACTACAAAGCTCTGCTGTTGTATATCACACACTGTAATATGTAAACTAATGGGCATGGTGCTGTTCCAGGAAAATTTTATTTACAGAAACTAGCTGCTTTCCATATTTGGCCAGTGTTTGCCTCCACCCTGATCTAGAGGCTTAGTGAGAGCTTGTTTGATATTTTGGGGGCAGTAGGATCACTTTGTTAGATGGAGGCTGCTTTTCATCAAGAGGCATGTCTGGTTGTGGTATTAACAGCAATGGATGATGAAAGAATTATTTGTTTATGTGAAAAATATATGTGTGTATGTTCACTGTGACCACTGATAGAATTGCTGCTCCTGCCTTAGTCATTCACTGAGAAAGTATTTATTGAGAACCTTCTATGAATCAGGCACTGTTCTTCATGCTGACTTTCAGTATTAAATACGGGACCATGCTGTCATGCAGTTTATATTTTAATGAAAGAAAGCATAATAAACATAAAATATTAGGGATCAAAATGACGATGGAGGGACTTCCCTGGTGGTTGGGAATCTGCCTTGGAGAGGACATTTAGTATATATAAAGATCCTGTGGTTGAAACATAGTGGGTGAAAAGGACTCTGATAGGAATTTGGATAAGATAATCAGGGCCCAGATTGTGGGGGACCTTTAAACAGGGTGTTGAGTTTGGGTTTTCTTTTCTAGGTGTTATGAGAACACACCAAGATTTTAATCAGGGATGTAATTTGATGTAATTTAAAATTTTAAAGGATTGTTCTGGTTTCTAGGTGGAAAACTAAATTGTAAGGTGGGGGGGGCGGTGGTGAGAATAGAAACAAGAAGACAAGTTAGGAGACTTTTACAGTAATCCTGACAAGAGACAGTGGTGAACTAGGGTGGTATGGTACAGATGAAAAGAATCTGGTGATCGGTTTGGGAGTAGTCAGTAGAACTGTGATTGAATTGGAACAAGGGAAGAGGCATCAAGATTTCTTGATTTTACTTGAGAAACTGGGTGGATACTGGTGTCACTGCTGAGATGGAGAAGATTCTTTGAGGAGTAGCAGATACAGGGAAGAAAATCAGAAGTTCTGGGAGAAAAGTAGTTGATTAATTGAAAAAGTATTGATGGGTATGTATTTACATTAATGACAGTAGCTCCTTGATTCAGCATAGTTTTTGGAATCTGAATGTAGCTGTATGACCACTACCAAAAATATAGTTCTGCCTTTTTTAGCCTGTTCATTTAGATAGAGTAGTGAGTATCTTGGGCGTGTAGTAGGTTATTGTTGATCTATAATTTTTAAAATTTACAATATTTCGGAAAGTTGGAGGTACTGTTGCCTCTTGTATGCTTGCATGTGCATAGATACACACATATAAGTATGTTACATACTCTTAAAATTTTTGGCGTTTCATCTGAGTGCTAAGATGTTTATGTATTTTCATTTCCTACTAATATATTTATGATTCCCCAATCTATAGTCTCAATTCCTAATTTTTCATTGATCTATCTATTTATATATTACTACTTTTACAAAGGATATATAGATACTAGGTTGATACTTGGCAGTTTACATTTGGGAAGTTGACTTCATTAATCCCTTAACTTTCTGATTTTTTCTGCTGGGTTTTTTGGGTTTGGCTATCTCAAAAGTTATTCTGTCCTTGATCATCAGCATTTAAATTTAACGTTTTTTAAAAATTACTTAAAACTTTTGTTTTCCTGTGTATTTTTCCAAGTCATTACCTCATGCCTAAACTCTGACTATTACCATCCTCAACTGAGTGTTTTGAAAGCTGAGCTTCCTAAGTAACCCCCTTACCCTTACCCCCTTTCTCTTCCTCTGTTCTGATCGTCCATAAACAACTGGTACACACATGCTTTTCATTTTTATTGCTCAGCTTCTTTGAGTGAGGATTTAGAGACATCATTAAAATGTTCTTTTTTTCACATAATCTTTACATTTTTATTTCATTTTCCTTACTAAAAATTCTGTATTCTAACCAACGTCGTTAACTTTGCTGTTCACTCAGAGAACAGTCATTTCTGCCTTTATGGCTTTGACATGCCTGCGATTTCACGCAAAGGGAACAGCTATTTCAAGACATAAAGACACGAACTGCTTATAGTGTAGGTTTTTTTTAAGGACACCCAAGCACTACCCCAGCCACATGTTGCCTCATGGCTCTCAGTAAATACTGTCTGACTAACAAAGGAATTTCATTCATTAGGACTCAGTGCGCCTGCTGGCTGTGGAGGCCTGTGTCAGTATTGCCCAGTTACTGTCTCAGGATGACATTGAGGCTTTGGTGATGCCTACACTTCGACAAGCCGCAGAAGATAAATCTTGGCGAGTTCGCTATATGGTAGCTGACAAATTTTCAGAGGTAAAATTAGTGCACTGACATTTTTTAAGTACTAAAAGGAAAAAAACCCCAGAAATCCACAGATTTGCTGTCGTAACCAAAAGTTTCTGAGTTCGAAGTGCTTGAGGCAAAAATAGACAGGTCTTCCTGGACTCATGATGGGGTTGTGTCCTGATAAACCCACTGTAGTTGAAAGTGCATTTAATGCACCTAACCTCTGAACAGCATGGCTTAGCCTCACCTACTGTAAACATTTAAAGAGCACTTACATTAGCCTGTAGTTGGGCAGAATACTCTAATAGAAAACCTATTTTATAATAAAATGTGTAATAGCTCATGGAATTTATTCAATACTGGTACTAAAAGTGAAAAACAGAGGGGTTTTAAGTGTATCGGTTGTTCCCTTTTGTGTTACATGGCTGACTTCCTCTGCCCAGCGTCACGGGAGGATGGTACTACATAGCGCTAGCCCAGGAAAAGATCAAAATTCAAAACGTGAAGTTTAGTTTGTATTCAGTGTGTATTGCTTTCACAACATCCTAAAGTTGAAAATCTTAAGTTGAATGATCATAAGTTGGGGACTGTCTGTACTTGACGATTGCACTGTGCTTATTAGTTATTTTGATTAGAATACATTAAAACCTGTGCAAATTCTTTTATAGCTCCAGAAAGCTGTGGGTCCCAAAATCACCCTAAATGACCTCATCCCCGCCTTTCAGAACCTACTCAAAGACTGTGAAGCTGAAGTCCGAGCAGCAGCTGCCCATAAAGTAAAAGGTTAAGGTGTCAGTTTATGTTGTAACTAGATCACTTCGGTGCATTTTTTTCTGTCAGTGAATTTTGTTTTTTTTTTTTGTCTTAGATTATGTTTTCAGATAAATAGAGATGATTTTAATGTGTTGAAATGTTAACATTGTCACATAAAGTTACTCCCTTATGTATTTAAAACCAAATAGCTTCTGTTTAAAAAAAAATGTATCTAATTCAGATTGGATTGGTGTCGTACACAGTGGTGTATAGACTGACCAAAAAGTGCATTTAAAAGTAGCCATTTTTCTTCCTTGGAACTTATTTGCTTAAACATATGATTTGATTTAGCTTGAAACTTGATAAATCTGGTTAAATTTCTTCATTTGGCTCCTTGTAAATGGCTGTACATAAGCATTTTTTTTTCTTTCTGTTTGTATATTTTAGAACTTTGTGAGAACTTGCCTATAGAAGGTAGAGAGACCGTAATTATGAATCAAATTCTACCCTATATAAAGGTAAACCTAACTTTATTTTTTGTTTCACTTTGCCCTGTGTGAAGGTAAACCTGACCTCAGTTTTTGTTTGTATTACCTTAAAGCTCTTTAAGTTTAAACATGGACCAGGGATGAATGAGACAGTTATGTTAATGTGTGACACTGTTATTTATTACTTATTAATGTTTTATAGGTAAAAATGCTCTTTTTTTGCATAGGTTTATTTTATCTGACATGGTCTGAGGAAACTTTATTGACTAATCAATATTGAAAGAGTGCTGTCTTTTAAAATTCCTTGGGAAATCATATGGAAATTTCTGTTGTCTTGCAAAAAAACTAAAGGCTATTAATTTTGACTTTATTCTAGGAATTAGTATCTGATACAAATCAACATGTCAAGTCAGCTCTAGCTTCTGTAATTATGGGGTTGGCTACCATTTTGGGCAAAGAGAATACCATTGAACATCTTCTACCTCTCTTTTTAGCTCAGTTAAAGGATGAGGTGAGTCTGGCTATAAATTTTGTTGTCTTTTGATGGTCGGTGATTTGGTTTGGTTTTTGTTTGGGGTGTCACTGAAAAAGTAACTTATTTTAAACCATTGACAGTATTTGGGCACGGAATTATAAGTTCCTGAGAAAATGGGCCACTGATACAGATGTAAAAATGTCTGTCCATCTTCTCTGCCTAATTCCTGATTATATTCACTGTTTTTTTCTTCTCTTTAAACTTAATGGATCTTTACTGGAAAAGTTTCATTTAAGTTTAGATATAATATTATAAAAATTACCCTGTTTGCCAGGCATGATCATCAGTGCTTTGCATGTGTATTATTACGTGTAATTTTCACAGCAATCTTATTTTTGAGGGTCGGTCTTAACTATTATTCCCATTTTACAGATGAAGAAGGTGAGGCACAGAGGTAAAATAACCTACCTGAAGTCTCAGATGTGGTCGATGTGGGATTTGAATACATGCAATTTGATTTCATAGCCTATGTGCTCTTTACGTTTCTATAGACTTTTCATTGAGAGTTTTGTTTAAGTCAATTAAATTATGCACTTTGAATTATTTGTGTACTCAGTATTAAACATTTCTTCCAAGACAATAGTTTTTTCACCCAAGTCAACACTTTCTCATTTTAAAATTTATTTGCTCATCATGGTGGTAGAATATCGAGCAAAGAACTTGATCTTTATGTGTGCTCTTTTGGGTTTTGTGTATTTGCAGTGTCCTGAAGTTCGTTTGAATATCATCTCCAATTTGGATTGTGTAAATGAAGTGATTGGAATCCGGCAGCTCTCTCAGTCACTCCTTCCTGCCATAGTGGAGCTGGCTGAAGATGCTAAATGGAGGGTCCGGCTGGCCATCATCGAGTATATGCCACTGCTGGCCGGCCAGCTGGTGAGTGTGGGCACTCCTGTGAGCTGATGGATAGCATCACATAGTGGAGCGGACTTGCCAGGGCCAGCAGGAGGCCCACATAGCTCATGTGGTTGTGTTCACTTAGATGTGTGAGAAAGTACGGTCTCTTATCAGTTGCCTGTAGAATGGTTTTCATTTTCATCAGTGTATTAACATCTAACAAAAGGTATTTTAAAAACACATTTCACCTCCCCACCATCTGAAAGCAAAGCCATGGAAGAGTTTATAATTTCTTGGTATATGTCACACAGATTTTGTGATACTTAATGTCTCTGTGACTTAAGGAATATTTATCTGAGAAGAAAGGGGAGTATGGTTTCAAGATTTGACTTTTGCTCAGGGAAGCTTCCCTCTCTGCCTGTATTCTGAGCAAATGTCTCTGGTTACCACTTTTCCTGCATTCTGGTTAAAGGGAGTTGAGGACTCCCCATATGAAAAAGGAGTGTTGAGGTTTGTAGTGCTAGTATTTTGGCCAGAGTTTGTATTATCACATTATCTGTTACTATCTGAGATTTATGGATAGTTCTATTGATAACAAGTTAATTAAAATTTTAGTGCTGGGTTTTATAGCCACATCCTTTCCTTTCTTTTTTTTTTTTTTTTAATTATTTTTTTATTTTTTTCATTTATTTTTATTAGTTGGAGGCTAATTACTTTACATCATTGTAGTGGTTTTTGTCATACATTGAAATGAATTAGGCATGGATTTACATGTATTCCCCATCCCGGTCCCCCCTCCCACCTCCCTCTCCACCCAATCCCTCTGGGTCTTCCCAGTGCACCAGGCCCGAGCACTTGTCTCATGCACCCAACCTGGGCTGGTGATCTGTTTCACCCTAGATAATACACGTGTTTCGATGCTGTTCTCTTGAAACATCCCACCCTCGCCTTCTCCCAGAGTCCACAAGTCTGTTCTATACATCGGAGTCTCTTTTTCTGTTTTGCACATAGGGTTATCGTTACCATCTTTCTAAATTCCATATATATGTGTTAGTATACTGTAATGGTCTTTATCTTTCTGGCTTACTTCGCTCTGTATAATGGGCTCCAGTTTCATCCATCTCATTAGAACTGATTCAAATGAATTCTTTTTAATGGCTGAGTAATATTCCATGGTGTATATGTACCACAGCTTCCTCATCCATTCGTCTGCTGATGGGCATCTAGGTTGCTTCCATGTCCTGGCTATTATAAACAGTGCTGCGATGAACATTGGGGTACACGTGTCTCTTTCAGATCTGGTTTCCTCGGTGTGTATGCCCAGAAGTGGGATTGCTGGGTCATATGGCAGTTCTATTTCCAGCTTTTTAAGAAATCTCCACACTGTTTTCCATAGTGGCTGTACTAATTTGCATTCCCACCAACAGTGTAAGAGGGTTCCCTTTTCTCCACACCCTCTCCAGCATTTATTGCTTGTAGACTCGGATAGCAGCCATCCTGACTGGTGTGTAATGGTACCTCATTGTGGTTTTGATTTGCATTTCTCTGATAATGAGTGATGTTGAGCATCTTTTCATGTGTTTGTTAGCCATCTGTATGTCTTCCTTGGAGAAATGTCTGTTCAGTTCTTTGGCCCATTTTTTGATTGGGTCATTTATTTTTCTGGAGTTGAGCTGGAGGAGTTGCTTGTATATTTTTGAGATTAATCCTTTGTCTGTTCCTTCGTTTGCTATTATTTTCTCCCAATCTGAGGGCTGTCTTTTCACCTTGCTTATAGTTTCCTTTGTTGTGCAAAAGCTTTTAAGTTTCATTAGGTCCCATTTGTTTATTTTTGCTTTTATTTCTAAAATTCTGGGATGTGGGTCATAGAGGATCCTGCTGTGATTTATGTCGGAGAGTGTTTTGCCTATGTTCTCCTCTAGGAGTTTTATAGTTTCTGGTCTTACATTTAGATCTTTAATCCATTTTGAGTTTATTTTTGTGTATGGTGTTAGAAAGTGTTCTAGTTTCATTCTTTTACAGGTGGTTGACCAGTTTTCCCAGCACCACTTGTTAAAGAGGTTGTCTTTTTTCCATTGTATATCCTTGCCTCCTTTGTCAAAGATAAGGTGACCATAGGTTCGTGGATTTATCTCTGGGCTTTCTATTCTGTTCCATTGATCTATATTTCTGTCTTTGTGCCAGTACCATACTGTCTTGATGACTGTGGCTTTGTAGTATAGTCTGAAGTCAGGCAGATTGATTCCTCCAGTTCCATTCTTCTTTCTCAGGATTACTTTGGCTATTCGAGGTTTTTTGTATTTCCATACAAATTGTGAAATTATTCGTTCTAGTTCTGTGAAAAATACCGTTGGTAGTTTGATAGGGATTGCATTGAATCTGTAGATTGCTTTGGGTAGTATAGCCATTTTGACAATATTGATTCTTCCAATCCATGAACACGGTATATTTCTCCATCTGTTTGTGTCCTCTTTGATTTCTTTCATCAGTGTTTTATAGTTTTCTATGTATAGGTCTTTTGTTTCTTTAGGTAGATATACTCCTAAGTATTTTATTCTTTTTGTTGCAATGGTGAATGGTATTGTTTCCTTAATTTCTCTTTCTGTTTTCTCATTGTTAGTGTATAGGAATGTAAGAGATTTCTGTGTGTTAATTTTATATCCTGCAACTTTACTGTATTCGTTGATTATCTCCAGTAATTTTCTGGTAGAGTCTTTAGGATTTTCTATGTAGAGGATCATGTCGTCTGCAAACAGCGAGAGTTTCACTTCTTCTTTTCCTATCTGGATTCCTTTTACTTCTTTTTCTGCTCTGATTGCTGTGGCCAAAACTTCCAAAACTATGTTGAATAGTAGTGGTGAGAGTGGGCACCCTTGTCTTGTTCCTGATTTCAGGGGAAATGCTTTCAGTTTTTCACCATTGAGGGTGATGCTTGCTGTGGGTTTGTCATATATAGCTTTTATTATGTTGAGGTATGTTCCTTCTATTCCTGCTTTCTGGAGAGTTTTAATCATAAATGGATGTTGAATTTTGTCAAAGGCTTTTTCTGCATCTATTGAGATAATCATATGGTTTTTATCTTTCAATTTGTTAATGTGGTGTATTACATTGATTGATTTGTGGATATTAAAGAATCCTTGCATTCCTGGGATAAAGCCCACTTGGTCATGGTGTATGATTTTTTTAATATGTTGTTGGATTCTGTTTGCTAGAATTTTGTTAAGGATTTTTGCATCTATGTTCATCAGTGATATTGGCCTGTAGTTTTCTTTTTTTGTGGCATCTTTGTCTGGTTTTGGAATTAGGGTGATGGTGGCCTCATAGAATGAGTTTGGAAGTTTACCTTCTTCTGCAATTTTCTGGAAGAGTTTGAGTAAGATAGGTGTTAGCTCTTCTCTAAATTTTTGGTAGAATTCAGCTGTGAAGCCATCTGGTCCTGGGCTTTTGTTTGCTGGAAGATTTCTGATTACAGTTTCGATTTCCTTGCTTGTGATGGTTTTGTTAAGATCTTCTATTTCTTCCTGCTTCAGTTTTGGAAAGTTATACTTCTCTAAGAACTTGTCCATTTCTTCCAAGTTGTCCATTTTATTGGCATAGGGCTGCTGGTAGTAGTCTCTTATGATCCTTTGTATTTCGGTGTTGTCTGTTGTGATCTCTCCATTTTCGTTTCTAATTTTGTTAATTTGGTTCTTCTCCCTTTGTTTCTTAATGAGTCTTGCTAATGGTTTGTCAATTTTGTTTATTTTTTCAAAAAACCAGCTTTTAGCTTTGTTAATTTTTGCTATGATCTCTTTAGTTTCTTTTGCATTTATTTCTGCCGTAATTTTTAAGATTTCTTTCCTTCTACTAACCCTGGGGTTCTTCATTTCTTCCTCCTCTAGTTGCTTTAGGTGTAGAGTTAGGTTATTTATTTGACTTTTTTCTTGTTTCTTGAGGTAGGCCTGTAATGCTATGAATCTTCCCCTTAGCACTGCCTTTACAGTGTCCCATAGGTTTTGGGTTGTTGTGTTTTCATTTTCATTCATTTCTATGCATATTTTGATTTCTTTTTTGATTTCTTCTATGATTTGTTGGTTATTCAGAAGCGTGTTGTTTAGCCTCCATATGTTTGAATTTTTAATAATTTTTTTCCTGTAATTAAGATCTAATCTTACTGCACTGTGGTCAGAAAAGATGACTGGAATGATTTCAATCTTTTTGAATTTACCAAGACTAGATTTATGGCCCAGGATGTGATCTATTCTGGAGAAGGTTCCGTGTGCACTTGAGAAAAAGGTGAAGTTGATTGTTTTGGGGTGAAACGTCCTATAGATGTCAATTAGGTCTAGCTGGTCCATTGTGTCCTTTAAAGTTTGTGCTTCCTTGTTCATTTTCTGTTTAGTTGATCTATCCATAGTTGTGAGTGGGGTATTAAAGTCTCCTACTATTGTGTTACTATTAATTTCCTCTTTCATACTCGTTAGCGTTTGCCTTTCCTTTCTTTTATAGTAGGTACCTTGGTCAGTTCTGAATTTGATATGCCCTCATCATGGTGGTTGCACTTTACTATAGAGGAACTTAAAATCTAGATGAGATAGACAACTGATCTCTTTTGGGGCAGGGCTGTGTTCAGTGTTTCACTTCCAGTGCCTCCCATAGTGCCTGGCATTAATCAGGCACTTAACATTTGTTGATTGTTGAGAAAAATGAATGTTGACTGGTTTTTGAGAAAGCTCATAATGTGTCAGTTTATGGCCAGCATTACTGCCATTTGTTTGTCGTCTTCCACTTTTGTTCCTTTCATATCATAGCATATGAGATTTATTTTTTCTCTTCTTGGACTCCTGACTTTGTATTGTTATTTTGGTGTACTTAGTTTACGAAATGTGTCTTGTGGATGTCTGTAGGATCATGTTTTATAAAACTTAAAGTGTCCCATTCTTCATAATAGATGCCAGAGATAGCAGTGTACAGGCTTCCCCCACACTCTGAAAGTAGAGCGTCCCTAAGAGCGCTCTTGCAAGCTAAGATGGTGTAGAGCAAAGAAGCAGTTACCTTAGGACACATCCTGCTAACAGATACATGAAATAGATCTAGAGGAAGCACAGATGCTCACAGACACAGTTTGGGGCAGTTGGCGGCCTGATGCTGAGATGAGATGTTAAATAGTTTTCAGGGAATAAGCTTGGCTGTGCCACGCTTGCTGCTGCCTGTCTCAGGTTCATTGGCTTGTTGCAGAATGAACACTGAACACGTTTTTCACCTTTTTTCGTTAAAAAAGAAATCCCATTTAGATTTCTTTCAGTTAGTGAGCACATGTACTCTTTTACAGCTCTTTTGTAAAAGTGAAGTGATATAAAGTGAACCTTCAAAAAGTAGAGGATACCTAATGGGGTCAGATAAAGTCATCCTGTCAGTTTTTGCCCCCACTGTTGTTGTTCAGTGGCTGAGTCGTGTCCGACTCTTTGTGACCACATAAACTGCAGCATGCCAGGCCCCTGTGTCCTCCACTGTCTCCCAGAGTTGTTCTGCCATTCCCAAGTACTGAGTGTCATCTTCTGTTCTTAAGTGTTGACTGTCATGACTCAGGGTGGAAAGCAGCAGTGGTTAACTGGTTTGCTGAAGGTTAAAGTGACTGTCCAGCAGGGAGGGTGAATTTCAGTACCATTTCTTTTAACTTCTGTTCCTCCCAGACCTGAGAATCCTGCAAAGGTTGGTAGCTCTCTAGAGGATCTTGGAAACAGGCATGTGGTGACTCTGGCTGCTTCACGCTTGTCTAGCAGGAATGGCATGCATCAGTCAGAAGCGTTCTGTTATACAACTTCAACATCTGTTAATATTATATATTTTATCCTAAAAAAAAAAAAAATCCATAAAGACTTTTATTTCAGGTAGTCAATTTATAAAATTCCTTCAAGACTTTATGTATGGCCTGGTTTATGGACCATGGTGAGTAAATGTAAGGCTAAACCACAAGAATCAGAAAATAAAAGTTAATTAGAACTCAGAGAAACCCATGACCTGAAATGAAAAATAAATCTTTGAGAGCAGACATGGTAATCCAAGTGTGTGGTAAAGCCTGTTCATAACCTATTATTATGAAGCCATTTTATTATATTTTGAAAGCTCTTGTGTAGCATTTCTTTATTTAAAGTATATGGTCACTGGTCAGAAACTTCTTAGGTCCCAAAGAAGCTAAAGAGTGTGAACATGTAGGCATCAAGAGAGAGGTGCAGGGAAAGCATGGTTCACAGCCATCTTCTGCACGCTGTGAAGAGCACGGTGCTAGTCTGTGTAAACCAGCTCGAGGAGCTTGTCCGCTGCCTATGCTGGTGTGGCCACCGTTGATGGGGAGAACTGGGATGGGTCAATCTCAGGTCTAGTCTTGTGCCTGCTTATTCTCTCTCTGCTTTCTCCCATGGATCCCAGGGTGCTCTCTATAATTGGGGAGGAGTCTGTTTCTTGATGTCAAGTTCTTTATCCTTAAGGATTTATTAAGATATTTACCAGAGGGATGGGATGGGGAGGGAGGTGGGAGGGGGTTCAGGATGGGGAACACATGTAAATCCATGGCTGATTCATGTTAATATATGGCAAAAACCACTCAATATTGTAAAGTAATTAGCCTCCAACTAATAAAAGTAAATGGAAAAAAGAAGATATTAACAAAAAAAAAGATATTAACTCAAAACGGAAGATGTTGAGATTAGTATTTCTGACTGGTGTTTTCCTGATGGTTCATATTCAGAGATACTCCATAGAGACCTTTTGACAGACTGTCCATGCTGCGTTCTTCCTGCACGTCTGCAGTGTAGCATCTGCTTCAGGCCACTCGCTTCTCTCCCACTTAGCAGTCCCTGGGCCATTGCATTTACCTTTTCTTTATGATTTCTATCCAATAAAGTAGTTGTATAGCTTGTAAATCAGACCTCATGGTATTCTTTTTTCTGGTTGGTCCATGAATTCAGCTTATTTGGAAATAGGTGGGTTTTTTAGCTTTCAGGTCAGTTTGGTGTAATATAAATAGACCTTGATTTTTTAACTTTGGAGACGTGTATTAATGGAATCTTCTCTATCTATAGGGTGTGGAATTCTTTGATGAAAAGCTGAATTCTTTATGTATGGCCTGGCTTGTGGACCATGGTAAGTAAATAAGTTAATGGGAGTCCTGTGTTTTTGCATATATTTCATTTTGTTTGTATATTTCCTTTTCAGAAAGGAACCCTAATCTGACCATATTTTGTTTTACTAGTGTAGGGTTGAAGACAGTCTTTCATTAAAGTCCAGTTAGCTTGTTCTGATCAAAAGTTTGACATTTCTATTTTCTACCAATTTTTCTATCTTAAATTTTTATTTTCTTCATTGAACAGTCTCTTTGTTCTGTTTTCACTCTTGCCATTATATTATTTTTAAACTTTCTATTTCATACATATACTCATTCTTTCTTATTCAGAGGTCTTCTTTCCACCATCTTTTCCATCTTTGTGTCTTCAGCTACTGTAGACTGAGTTGGACAGGGATTGAATCAGAAGAAAGACTTGGGGGAAGAAACGGCTCATGGACTGCTTTGAGGTGACATAGAGACGCAGGTGTGCAGTGTGCAGTAAGGGTATCGGGCGTGGAAGGAAGACATCACCTGTCACCTAGGATAGAGAGGGCCCCGATTTCTGGTTTGGGCGAGAGGCTCGCTCTGTTATCTTTGCTTTTATAGCACAACTCATTTCAGCAGTCACAGAATCTTTTTCCTCTAGTGCCACATACTGTGTTACAAAATAAAAGCTGAAACTGCCGCTTTTCAAAATACACAGTTGATGTTTTATATAAAACCACCTTGTATGTTCACTTGTTAGCAGTTGGCTTTTGGACAAGGCTTCAGGTCTGGATATCAGTGCTTGTCTGTTGGGCAGCGATGGGCTGGAGAGGGCCTCACTGAGTGTCAACTCCTGTCCAGCTGGCAGCTTCCACGTGGTCTGAGACCTGTGCAGATGAGGGCTCTGAGGACGTACAATGTCCTGTGAGCGTTGGTGCCCTGTTTTGGTGGTTATGATGGGTATCTTGCTTCAGTTCCACAGCACATATTATATATACTTTATTTGCAGACTGTATCTCTGAGGGTGCCTCTGGGACCCTCCTTTGGGAGGAGTGGGGATATCGTGTCTGTTTCTGCAGGAAGGTGGTTTTAAGGGTCAAAACAAACAAACGAAAAGAAAAAACCCAACTTTCCTGAGTGATTTAAAAGAATACCTCCAGCGTGTAAAGCACAGGACTTGGCCTAGTGGGTGTTAAATAGCTGTGCTGAACTGAAGCTGAATCAATGGACAGAAATGCTAAAGTCCTGGATGAAGCATCACACCTTGCAAGATGTCAGTCGTTGCCAAACTGACTTTTTTTGAAGAAAGTGAAAGTGAAGTCGCTCAGTCATGTCTGACTCTTTGCAACCCCGTGGACTGTAGCCTACTAGGCTCCTTTGTCCATGGAATTTTCCAGGCAAGACTACTGGAGTGGGTTGCCAGTTGGATCATATGGTTAAGAAAGTGAAGAGGAGAGGTGCAAAAAATGTAAATTTCATAAAGATGTGTAAATGTAGATAATCTCATTGTTTTCAAACTAGATTGCAAAGACTTTTTCTTGTCCTCTAAAGTTGTTTCTTTAAGGCTTCATGTTTTTCCTTCTTAAATGAAACTAAGGTTTGGTGAAATCATAGGAAAGATAGTTTTCTCTTTTTAGAAATAAAGGGTTCATATTATATCTGATAAATATTAATGTTAGTGAGTCCTAGCAGATTGGTCCATACTCTCTTTGAAAGCTAGTATTCTACACTTAATTTTGAGAAACTTTTAAAATCGTGGTGTTCCACAAAGAATTGAATTCCTGACACCTTTTCTATATAGAATTCACCTGTCAATGCAGGTTAATTAATACTCTCTTTTTTCTCTGATCTTTTATCATCCAGTTTAAGAGCAGAAGAGACCCTTGTGTCGTCTTTTTCAGCAGCATACTTAAGTGGCCTTTGCAAGCATTCTTTGAACCAATGAAATGTCAGCTCTGAAATTGTTCGAGGTTTTGTTTTTGCATTTTAGATAACTGCCATGTAGTGATCAGTGATCTTTTAAATTTTTAGAAACTTTTTTGCTTATTAAAGTACTAAGGATATTGTGAAGAAGTACAGAGAACTAGAAGCGGTATCACTTACCCTCCTTTCCATGGTTGAGTGGATAGTGTTGATCAGAGAGAGGAATTTAAAGGGGAATTTATTTTTTATAGGAGGAAGGAAAAAGTACCAAAGTTAGTAAGGATATAGAGTGTGTTAGAAATTCAGAGGAACATTGCACATCAGCCAGACCTTGAGGGGAGAGGGAAGAAGAGGGAGGGAGAGAGACAAAACAAGCAGAGAGGAGAGGCAGAACCGTGGAGTGGTTTGTTTGCATTCTTTTCACAGCAAAATTGAGAGGAGCCAAGAACATAGTAGGCGTCTGGCCAAGTGGAGTTGAGTGCAGTTAAGGTCTGGGTCAAGGCCGAGCTCTCATCTCTGGTTACTCTGGCAATGAGGTCCCTTCTCTATGGCAATGGCATTAGGATGAGAAGAATCTCAAGCAAATAAAAAAGCAATGAGGGGAGGAGACACAGATGGGAAGAAGTTGGTGGGGGACGGTGTGCTCAAAACAAAGACTGTGCTGGTGAAGGGAGGGAGTTTTTGTTATGAGTGAAACACTTGACTTGAACGTGTTCCTTCAAGAGTGCTGCTGAATATCCCTGGCAGGCTGCTTCTCCCACACGCTTTGGTCAGGTTGCATGTTGGTAATAATCTAGCTCCTTGGCTAAGGTGTCTGGCCTGTGCTGACCAGCGGCGTCGCCTGAGAGGCTCTGTGGCCTGGGAAGAACCGGCCCCTTTCTGTCTGGGAGCCATGTGTTGGTCGTCTGGGATCAGAGCTGTTGCCTGGGTGCCTGTTGCTCCACAGCTGTCACGCGGGAGGGTTGGGCGTGAGGGAGGCATAGAGTAAGGAATCGGTACTGATCACTCTCACTTGTTATCAAAGCCCAAATTTTGAGTGTATTGGACATGTAAGATGAAGCATTGCCACACCTGTCTTCGTTGGGTGTTGTATGTAGTAAATAGTTGTTGAGAAGATTGTGGCTCAGGCCTTTATTATCTAGATTAATGACGTCTTTGCTAAATGACCTTGTAGGGAATTACGAGATTAAAGGAGGCACGTATATTCATAGAAGACATTTGCCATGTTGCCTCAACAGAAACATTTTTAAGGGGAAAAAAGGCAAGTCAGTCTGAAGTTTTTATATGCTGTTGTGTAGACGACGACAGTGGCCTCTGAATAACCTCCTCTCTGTCGTTCTCTCAGCTGTTCTTGCTGCTGCTGGAATGATCTTGCCAAAATACCACATTGGTCTTAGGGCCACATCTTTGCTTTAAAAACCCATCATTGCTTTCCTTACAGTCTAAATTTAGCTTTCATGAAGCTCGGTCTGGCTCCACCCTAACTGTTCAACCTTAGTGTCTCACAGATTTCAGTTTTTTCCTTTGTGCCCTGGGTAAATTTTTTTGTCCTCTCTAGGAATTCCTCCCCTATTCTTTCCACTTACACAAATCCTCCATAATTTTTAAGGCCCAGTGCAAGGCCACTGTTGCACACAGCCTTCCCAGACCTCTCTGTTCTCTCTCCTCTAAACTCCTACATCTCTCAGGGTCTTTACTAGTTGCATGCTTTATTATAATGAGTCTTAGACCCCATGATTTCTTAAAATGCATTATTTTTCATTTTTTTGCTTGAGTATGTGGTCTTTGGGGGCAAGTAACTTATGCATTCTTTCTGTGACACATAGCACATAGTTGGCACTCATATTTGCTAATTAACAATGCCTATAATGAGCTCCTTCCTTCCCTTTTCCTTGGACATTTTGAAACTATAGTCAGACCACATCGGCATATTAGAAGTCATAGCTGAGCATGCTTGCTGTTGCAGTCTGACTAAATTTGGAGTGTTCACAGAGTTTTATTTTTGGCCCACCTTTGACGATGGCGTAAGTAAAAGTAAACTAGGTTATGCTCGTGATGTGAGCAGCACGACAATATCTTCTTCACCTCTTCTGCAGTGTACGCCATCCGGGAAGCTGCCACCAGTAACCTCATGAAGCTAGTTCAGAAGTTCGGTACAGAGTGGGCCCAAAATACCATCGTTCCCAAAGTGTTAGTAATGGCAAATGATCCTAATTACTTGCATAGAATGACCACTTTATTCTGCATTAATGTAAGTATTTCATAGCTGTTTTGTTAAGCTCTGGTGTTAAACCAGTTATTCAGGAGTGTATTTCTGAATCCTGACTATGTTGTCTTCTGTTTGGATTATATTTCTTTCTTTTTTTTTTATTTATTTGATTATATTTCTTAATATTGATTAAGTTGGATATTTAGGAGATGAGAGAAAACTGTCAATTTTTCAGTTTGTGTCAAACTCTAAAGTCAGTTTGAATTCTGGTCTAATTCTGTGATTCTGTTCTACCTTGTATATTTCATCACATGCTCACACTAGAAACATTTTCCTGGTGGCCAGTTACTTTCTTGTCTCTTTAGATTTTGGGATACTTTTTTTTTAAAAAAGTGTTTTTTAATGTGCTGTCTTATTTCTTTTTCAAGGCACTGTCTGAAGCCTGTGGTCAGGAAATAACCACTAAGCAGATGCTGCCTATTGTATTGAAAATGGCAGGAGATCAAGTAGCAAATGTCCGTTTCAATGTGGCCAAATCTCTACAGAAAATTGGACCAATTCTGGATACCGAGTAAGGTTTTTAATATTCTTTTTTAAAAAGTAGATTTAAATTTTCACCGCATGTAGGCAGAAATAGCTATAATTAAATTCGGTGATTTTCATGTCACCTAATATGTGGGTTAGGTTAAAGAAAATAATAGTAATTCAACAACCAATTTTGAGGGTGTCTACTCTTTTATATGTAAGCTCTGTACATGTGCAGATTGTTGTCCAAAGCTAATTCTGCAGAGACTTAGAGAAATTATTTAGTACTTGTCAAGTTAATATTATAGGTGTTTTAAAATATTTTTAAAATTTTAAACTGTAAAAATTACCATAGAGCATAATATATATTACATACCATAAAGCATTTCTCTGGCTCAGAAGATTGCCCTTCACAAATGATACTGTTGGATTTTAGTGCTTTGCAGGAGGAAGTTAAGCCGGTACTACAGAAGCTAGGCCAAGATGAAGATATGGATGTCAAGTATTTTGCACAGGAAGCCATAAGTGGTATGTCTGTTTCTGCCTTCCAGCTTTGGCTTGGGCTCACAGGCTGTGAGTGATAGTAAGTGGGCCAGGTGACGAGCACCTGGCCACGGGAGAGGGTGAGCTCCTGGAACACTGTCTCCTCTTTGAGTAGAACCTTCTTGGCCCACCACCAGGCAGGCCATTTTCTCTATTCCATATCTGAGGGCTGGGTAGGGGTATGATTCTTACTGGTAAGGATAGTGTGTTGTTTGGATTTTAATCAGTTTTTAAAGTTTTAACTTTGGATTAGTCTGACGGTAAAGAAACTGACCACTGTGAGAAGCTGTCAGTCTCAGGCTTTGATCCATTGTTGCTGTGCTGAATATTCACATACATGGTTCATATACTTTCTGTACCACTAACTTGATTTTGTTTGGAATTTTCTAGTGCTTGCACTGGCATAACGAGGAACGAGGGGGAAGACTTTACTAAGTTCTTATCACAGATTTCTAGTCAATGTGTTCTTGAACTGGGTGGAGAGAAAAATGGAAAACCTTCAAGACCTCATCCGAGCAAATGGCAGCACCTTACAAGAAATCAAATTTCAGTGACTTGATTCTTTCTAAAGATGAAATGGCATTGTTTTTCACTTGTCTTCCTTGTTGGGATAATTTAAACTGTTCTTATTATTTGTGACCAATTTCTGATACTTGGCACAGTCATTTCTTGACTGTCTCCTAATGATTTATTTAGTACCGTCTGGGCTCCTGTATCGTCATTGTTTAATCAGGTCCCAGCCTCTTTAATATTCCACCAAGCCTGGACAGGTTTTGGACCCAGAGTGATTTTTTTGATGTTTACATGTATCTGTGTGTCTCCATTCCAGAGTTAAATGTACATGATTTAGAATAACTTATTTTATGAGCACTCCACGTGGGAGACAGACTGAGATTTAACCATAGTGAAAACCATATTCTCCTGGATGATGATGGTCCGTGTCAGTGTCTCCCGCGGAAGGGGAATGTGCACGCTCAGGGTTCATGTGTTGGTTGTTTCGGTTTTTATTTGCTCGATTTTGGCTGTAATCATGTCATTCAGAAACCTGAAGTGCAGATGCATCTTGCTCCTAATGTGTTGTGTTGAAACCTAACTCCATTTCTGCAGCTCCCCACTGTGACTGTGTTCAAAAATACTCCTCTTTCTCCCTGCTGAGATGCTTAAAATTTAGTGCCTCTTAATAAGCAGTGGTTCTACTGTTTGATTGTAGATTGCAGTTGCATTTCTAATGAGTAAAGGAACCAGTGGTACAACATTGAGGATTTCCTGCTCCTTACCTGGTTCTGCTTCCAGCTGTGTGGACATTTGGTTCTTGCTATATTATACAGTAATAGCTTTCCAAACTGAAGGTTCATTATTTTTTTGGTACGGGTGATGCTGGAATCTTATCATTTGAAATGTTATCCTACTTTTATAGTAAAACCTCATTAATTCCTCCTGGAATTGATAATGACTTAAAGCTGAAGGGTTTGCTGAAGCAAATTAATTGTATGTAAGGAAGCCTGATGTTTCTGAACTACTTAAACGCTCTTTAAAAAGCACCCTTTTCCCACTTGATATGCCTAGTTTCTTATCACTCTCATCAATTATATTAAAATACCTCATGACTGAAGCGACTTAGCAGCAGCAGCAGCCTTCTATCTGGTTTCCTGTCTTTATTCTTAATGGGTTTCCACATTACTGTTAGGTTTAATTTCTAAAAGCACTGTGCTGATCCTCCCCAGCCCCCTGCTCATAAACTCTCAGTGACTCCCCATTATCTAACCCCCTTTGACCTCAACCTCGGAGTCCTGAGCCCAGAATCTGAAGTTAGGGGACCTATACTTAACTAGGCTCTGCTGTAAACTTACTGAGTGACCTTGGGTATGCCACGACAAAATTTGCAAATAGGGCTTTGGATTTGATAACTGCTAAGGTTTCTTCAAGCTCCATCAGGTCAGTGTTCTTTTTAACATTAATCCTCACTCACCTCCTGTGTTATCGCTGGGCTGTTCTGTGATTTCCTGCCTTATGCCTTTGTTGGAGCTCTCATCTTCTAGTCTGGAATTCCTGCTCCTCAGTTCCTTTGCTCTGTACCTTCACATAAGTCCTATCCTCTGTTTTGAAATAATGTTACCTGGCTTTGAACTCTTGGTATCAGCCTGTGTCACCTACTTTGTGTTAATATAACTATTCTAGTTGTTTTAAAAAATCTTCTATTAGTAAAAAAAATAAATAAAATACCTTCTGTGAGGATATTTACCCGGCCACACCTTTATTTAGATACATTAAATTTGCTCTTTATACGTGATAGATATACACACATATTTAATGGAGGATTTAAATATTTTTTCTTTTAAATTTATGAAGATTTTTCACATATGTCTTGCCCTAATGACTTTTTAATTAATGAGGTTTTATTATAGCTTATTTTTCTCTCAGTGCATCTTGCTGAGTCTGAGTCTTGCTGTAGTCTGCTTGTTTCCATTTTGGTTTTCAAATAGTTTCTTTCATTTATAGTCTCTTAAAGCCAATGAGCCCTGTTCTGTTTTGTGAAGGCACGAAGACTTCTAGGAAGCTTTGTACATTAAACCATTTCAGAAAACCAAGTTTGACCAAATACTTTAAAGTTTGTCTTACCTTAGAAAAGCAGAACATTTAAAATCAAAATTATCTGAGTGCATTTAAAACTGCCAAACTAGTTTATAGTTATTTTCTATTTTTTTACTTCAGGGCGAAGGACTAAATATTTTCTTAGGCAAAAATCTTTTCTTTCCCTGAAGAAATCATTAATTATTATGCTGTAAACAATTTTTGTTTCATGGTTCTTTTTGTTTTTTTATTACCTTGCAGTTATGCTCATCATTGAATTTCATATTTGAGAGACTATTGCCTTGATTGAAACGAATTTACACAACCATTGCTGTCCTCTGGTTTGGGGACAGAGTCTTTACTGGTTTTGTGGACCTCCTGGGGAGCACTGTGCATTGACTTCCACCCTCAGATGTGGTGAAGGGGAGACTGTGAGCCCTTTCTCTCTCAGGCTTGGGTCAGGGAGCTCAGCAGGGCCCTGTGGTTTTGGGTCACCCTGTAGGGACTTCATTGTTTCTTCTGACTTCAACAATAGGGATCCATTTTGTTACTGTTCAGAGGAACTGTTCTTTGGCTCATAACTTTTCTCCATGTATTAGTTTTCTTGCCTTAATTTCACAGGAATGTCAGCTCCAGGAGCTCTGTAAGGGCTGGGGTTTTTGTTTTGTCTTCTGTATCTGTACCACCAGCATTTGGGTCAGTGTCTGGTGTACATAGTAGGCGCTCAATAAAAATGTGTTCAATGAATTTCTAAAACCTGTCTTCTGGTGTGTTGTGTGTGTGGAACAAGTCATCTAAGGTAACAGACTATTCTCATTCTCTTGTTGACACAATAAAAGAATTTCACTGCTTTTATGTGGCCCTGCTCCAGTCCCCATCTTAGGCAGCAGTTGTATTTGGATTGTACAGTGCCTGGAATAAGCGCCGCCATAGATACCCATCCTGGGCAGTTTATAGCAGTTGTTTGATTGATTAGGAAAATGAAGCAGAGACATGTATACAGTGTTATGCCAATAAAAGTCTTATCAGGGGTGGAATTCACCTTAGTGTTGCGGGGTTTAACTTTTACAGGTTTAAGAGACAAGATCTTGTTTCTCTGTCTATGCTGTCATGAAGATACGAACCTGACGTGCTTTTGGTTTCATAAACATAAACAGGTTACTGTGTGGTTTCCAGCGTGACAGTTTCCAGTCATGTTGGAGCCCTCAGGTCACAGAAACACCGCAGCTTCGCCACTGTGATTCTAGGCCCTGGGGGTCTTTGCTGGACCGCTCGTCCTGACTGAAAAGAGACAGCAGCCTGACCTTTGAGCAGTCTTCTCCAAGTGTCCACGATACTGCATGGACCTCCAGGAGAATCAGACATGGCATTCCTGACCCAGTGGTTGGGCTGTGGTAATGCTGGCTTGTTGGCATTGTTATTAATTGCTGTGTTGTCATGGAGTTAAAAATCTGGTTCTTCCCTGAGGACATCACACTGGTCCCGTTGCCCCGGGGATGGCAGGGCAGAGTGGCCCGGCAAGTTGGGTGCTTGTCTCTCGCCTTTCACTTAAATTCCTCTGACGCTTGTTTTTTTTCCCTGGCCTTCTTGTCTTAAAGCCTCCTTTCTAAGCACTGCCTAGATACAGACCGGAGGGAGAAGGAGCTGTCACCTTGTTCTTTCTAGTTTAACAATGAAGAGATTGTGGTCTGATGTTATGTAATTGCTTCTCTTGTATTCTCTCATACTCCTGTTTTCCATCCAGCTCCATGCTCTTCTTTCCTGTTCACTCACATGTCTCTAGTCCTTTTTTGTACCTAGAATAGTTCTGCTATTCCCTGTTTGCCTCCACAAGCCTGCTTTTTCCAGGAAATTACATAATGTTCAGTTGAGATGGAAATCTTTCTGGAGGATGAAGAGATTTTAATTACTCATTGGGTAGAAAAGCCAAGTCATTTCTTTCTTCAGAGTTGTTGTCTTAAATTGATGTCATCAGTTTTGCAAGGAGCCAAGTCTCTCCTGTCTGGCTGGGGTTCTGTAGACTGTCAGTGACCCAGAGGTGGGGGAGCACCCAGCTGGCACCCTAGGCCCGGTGGGGTGGCACTTCCCACGGCCCTTGAGGAAAAGGCACCTTCAGTCGGGTGCAGGGGTGGACCAGCTCTGTGCCCGGAGGCCTGTGTGCCTCCGCATTGCAGGGCTGGCGTGCCTGAGCGTCCTGGCGAGGAGGCGCAGGGGAGCCGCCTGGGACGCGGCCTGGCGGGGTCCATTACCGTCTGCTGTCTGTGTTTCTAGCGGTGGCCCAAAGGCTGAGGAAGCTAGATTTTCCTGTGAAGGACAGTGAAGAGCCCAGTGCCCCCGGGGCTGACAAGAACCACTTCCCGAGACCCAGAGGGCCTGAAGAGGACACGGGGAAGGTAAGTGCCCTCACACCGCTGGCCTGGGTCCCGCGTCGCCTGGGCTGAGGTGTGGGTGGAGGGCCTGGGGCAGCTGCCAGAGGCAATGAAGCCAGAGCTTTGAGCTCTCTCCCTGAGAGGATGGCGGAGTTCTGGGGACCAGGGGAGTCTGTCTTTATATATATTATATATGTTTCCTTCATTCTGGGAATGCCTTCTGAGGGGAGGGGTGGGCTTGTCAGCACCCTGCCACTGCGCCACCCCCCCCCCCGCCCCCAGCCCCATGCAGAGGAGAGAGGTGGTTTGGTAAAGAGTTGTTTATTGAAACAGGCTGTTTCTACATACCTCCCAGAAGAGACTGTTCTTTACAATTCATCTCAGGTAGTCACTTACATTCAAGGAAAAATCCATTTCTGTCCCTTTTACTGGGTAATAGTCCGAATGTTTTACTAGCCACCCCCCCACCCCACCCCACCCTCGCATTGACACCACTCTGAAGGAGGTGTGCCAAGTTCAAGTTCAGTGAAGTTGGTGCCAGCCAGTGCCCTGGGGCTGTTTGTTCGGAGGGTGACGCATGACGTACAGACTGCTTTGGGAAAGCAGCACAGAGAGTCTGGCCGCCATGTGCTGATGTCAGGCTGCGTTTAGTTTATTTGGAAGATAATGGTATTTTTGTACCACTCCAGCGCGTTTTGCTGGGTGACAGTTCTAACATCTAAACGTTTGTCTTACAAGTCTTTATGCCCTTTCCTTCATGTTTTGTGAACTGGGGCCATGAGAATCTTTTGCCCTGGTCCAGGCCCTGAGCTGCAGTCTCGTCTCAGAGCGTTCTCCCCTTCCTGCTCTGTGACCCCTCTCCAGGGCCAGCAGCTCAGCTCTCCCTGCAGTGGCTGCCCCCGCCCCGGAGGAAGGGCTGGGGCGCGGGTGCCCTCAGTCTCAGCAGCCTTTGGTCCTTGCATCTGTTTAACTGAACTTGGCCTCAGGGAAGATACCACGTCTGAACAACAGTTTCACATTTTTAAGTGTAAGCCACAGACTTCCTTGGGAAGAAGGAGTTATATTTTCCTACACATTCAGGGTGCACTGACTGTGCCATTAAATACATGGTTTGCCTGTGATGTGCATGCGGAATAGTTGAGGCAACCCCTCTGTGGCAGACTTGCCGGGTCTGGAGGCGGCCCCTGATGGCGCAAGCTGGGGAAGCAGCATTCACTGCCACATCCTGAACCCCAACACTTGGTCACTGTGCAGACAGCTTCTGGTCAGGCTCCTGGCAAAATCCCCCTTTGTCCTCGCAGCGGCCCTGTGTGGTGGGTGCTGGGGGCTCTGTTTCCCAGGCGGTCGAGAACCTCCCCCCAGCCCTGCCCTGTCTCCCAGGACATCTTTTCCAGCACCGGAGGCCCAGCTGTGCTCGGCTTCTGAGACTACAAATCAGTCAGCCTGGTAAACCCCTGCCCCGACTCAGGGAGCCTTCCCTGAGTCTGTTTCACTTGAAAGGACTCGGGGTGAGATGGAAAGGGAATTGGCTGTTGCCAGGCAGTGTGTGTGTGTGTCAGGGGCCAGCAGCCAAGTGAGTGATCCAGGAAGTCATCCAGTTGCAAACCAGAAATTGTTCTTAACCCCTCGCTCACTGTCAGTGGCGCGTAGCAGATTGGCCCATCTGCCCTAGCGGGGCCAGGGTGAAGCCCGGCCACTGAGAACCCTGGGAGCTGCCTCCAGTGTCTACTGGCCTCTGGGCCCTGCGGGAACCATTCGGCGGCCCGGGGCTCGGCCTGCCTCTTGACCCGAGACAGGATGGCCCCTCGGGACGCGAGCCAGTTCCTGCGCTGACCGGTGCCTGCTCGGGGCCTCCCAGGCTGGCCCCTGGGGGCTGCTCTCTTCTGACAGAGCTGCCAACGGGCCTCTGTCAGGCGGGGGTTAACAGAGGATTTGTTTATTGAATCGCGAAGTAGCTGTCACATGATTTTAATCAAAACACCATTTCCCTGACAACAGTGATGTCAGTCTTGTTATTGCAGGAAGGAGCAGCTGTGAGGGACGGTCGGGCTCCATGCCGAGCCCAGGTTCAGAAACTCAGATCAAATGAAGCATCATCAGGAGAGGTCGCAGGCATGGCTCCCCTGAACCTGCTGCCGTCCTCTCTGACTCAACAGCCTGTGCCATGCAGACGCTGGCCAGAGCCCAGCCACCCCGTCTGCACTGACATGCCTCTCTGCACCCGTTCTTCCTTCTACCCTTGTTTTTCCTTCTGGTTATTCCAGTTCTCCTTATTTCCCCCAAGCTCAGCGTGTCATTCATTTGGGCCACTAGGATCTCTGACCTCAGCCTTCTGGCACCTGTCTCCTCTCTGTGTTTTAAACCAACAGTTCTCGCCAGGCTGAGGTGGGGCCCTCCTGCCGCTCGGGAATCTTGGCTCCTTTTGGAGCCTGCTTCCTGGAGGACAGGGGCAGCTTGTTCTGTCCTTTTCTCTCCCGAGAGCAGGTTGGGGGGCCTGGGTGCTGCCTGAGGGTCTCCAGGGCAGTTCTGAGGAGCTCAGCTGTGGGCGTCTAAAGTGGAGGAGCTCCTCAAGAAAGAGCCAACCTTAGGGTAGGAGGTTAGTTCTCTTGAGCCCAGAATGACGACAGGAGGCCTGCATCCAATCTGGAGATCAGGGCCCAGGGGAGGCGGGCAGCGGAGCGCTGCCACGGTCAGTGGAGCAGTGTCCTCAGGCCCTGCCGCCTCTCCACACCTTCTCTGGGGGGGTGGGGACCAAGCAGCGGTCTCTGCAGAGAAAGACTCCGGGCCCTCCAGCCCTTCTGTATCCAGGAGCTCAGTATTTTTTTTTTTCCATTTATTTTTATTAGTTGGAGCCTAATTTACAGTATTGTAGTGGGTTTTGTCATACATTGACATGAATCAGCCATGGAGTTACATGTATTCCCCATCCCAATCCCCCTTCCCACCTCCCTCTCCACCCGATTCCTCTGGGTCTTCCCAGTGCACCAGGCCCGAGCACTTGTCTCATGCACCCAACCTGGGCTGGTGATCTGTTTCACTATAGATAATATACATGTTTCGATGCTATAGGAGCTCAGTATTAAAAATTGGAGACGGATGAGAAAAGCCTTCTAGGTGGGACATGGATTCTCACAGCTGTTCTTTTATCTGTGGTACCCATGCCTAGAATTCATCACTGAAAGAAGAAATCCTAGGCAAAGTTCTTGGTTCTTTGTATTTTTTTCTTTTTATTTGTTATTTTTGGCTGTGCTGCGTCTTCATTGCTGCATGAGCTTTCCTCCAGTTGAGACGAGTGGAGGCTACTTTTTGTTGCAGTGCGCAGGCCTGCAACTGCCCTGGCTGCTCTTGTGAAGCACGGCTTCTGGGGCCTGCGGGCTCAGCAGTCACGGCTCCCAGGCTGTAGAGCACGGGCTCAGCCGGCTTTGAGGCCGGGCTTCGTTGCTCTGAGGCCGGGCTTCGTTGCTCTGAGGCACGTGGGATCTTCCTAGACCAGGGATCAAGCCCACGTCTCCTGCGTTGGCAGGCAGATTCTTTACCCCTGAGCCACCAGGAAGCCCTGTTCTTGGGTCTGAACCTGGAGCAGGTGCTCAGAGTAGGGCAGCCACCTTAAATCTGCGACAAGATTTCATCGGCACCAAACAACTGTTTTCTATGTTGAGTGCTGGGATGATCAGGAGTTAAATGGAAACAAGAGAGGTAGAAGTGACAAGCCATTGAAGGGATCTGGGAGTCTTCTGAGTGCTTTCTTGATGGAGGGCAGGGCGAGGTCAGGCTGCACTTGAACCTCACAGTAAAGCGGTGGTTAAGTGAGCTAGTCTGTGTTCCTGAGTCACCACTGGGATAATGAGCCTTTGCAGTGATTTGCCCAGGTTAGCGGCAGGGCTGGGAGTAGTTCCAGTGGCCAAGGACTCAGCCAGAGGAACTTTGCTGCCTCCCAAGCTGTCCCTGGCAGAGAATGGATAGGTTTCACCCAACTGGAGGGCCTTAGGGGCCAAAGCGATTGCTCCAGGGGGTGGGAGGGGAGGCTGGACGCTGTTCTCCCACACTTGCTCCTGGCCGAGCCTTCTTGCCCAGCCCTTTCATCCCCAGAGCCGCCTCCAGCTGCTTGCCTGACCTTGGGCCCTGTCTTGGCTGGCGCCGGGACCTGCTGAACATCGGGGCTTCTCTAGTGACCGGGGGGCAGTTCTAGCAGGCCCTGGACTGGAACCTGAGAGAAAGACTGAGTCAGAAGCTTCCAGAGCCTGCCCGACAGGGAGGCCGACAGCATCTTCCTCTGAGAGGCCGGATCCCCAACGCCTTTTTTGGGGCCCAGATTCCCTGAGCTCTCTGCACCGCCAGCTCGAGGGGCCGCGGCTGCAAGGGCGGGGGGTCATCTGCTCCTCCCGGGCAGCGCCCTCTTCTGCACCCGTGTTCCTCACTCAGCGCCTCAGCCCGGCACCGGCTTCTCCTGGGCTTCAGACCAGCTCTGAGTCAGCACACCTAGGAAAGTCCCCTGGAAATTTATACAAAGGGAGCTTTCAGCGCTCCCTCAGGGTATTTGCAACCGTCAGTCCACAGGAGCTCCGCCTGCCAGCGGACTGGCACACCTGGCGCTGGGAGGCTTGTCAGCTGAGCGGCTGAGGCCTGCACGAACCTCGTGCTCTGCCGACCTGGCTTGGGGGCACGGCCTCGGCTGTCTGCCACTTATGTCTGAGCTGACATCCCCTTCACTTCAGTCGAGACCCACATCTTTCTCCCAAGGGACCCTCCAAAGGCTGAGCCGTGAACAATATTCCATCCCTCCAGAGCTGCTCCATCCTGTCATTTCATTTTTTGATTCTTACTGGAGTGTAGAGGACTTCCCTGTAGCTCAAACGGTAAAGAATCTGCCTGCAATGCAGGAGACCCGGGTTCAATCCCTGGCTTGGGGAGCTCCTCTGTAGAAGGGAATGGCAACCAACTCCAGAATTCTTGCCCGGAGGATCCCATGGACAGAGGAGCCTGGAGGGGTACAGTCCATGGGGTCACAGAGAGTCAGACACAACTGAACGTTATGTGCCAGATGTGCCCGTTGATTTGCACTGCTGTGTTAGTTTGATGTGTACTGTCATTTCTGTGACATGGTATCACTGGGACCAAATGAAAAGGGCAGAGTGGCTGTCACCCGTGCAGGTGACACGTGTCTGGTAGTGGTGTGGTACCCAGAACTTAGTGCACAGAGCCCAGAACTTCCTCCCCTGGTGCCCTGGGGCTGCGGGCAGAGCAGGGGGTGCTCTTGCTTATGGGATCCACCCAGGGAGGGCTGGGAACACTCAGAAGTGTGATCCCTGCTGCTGCTGAGTCGCTTCAGTCCTGTCCGACTCTTTTGTGACCCCATGGACTACATCCCGCCAGGCTCCTCTGTCCATGGGATTCTCCAGGCAAGAATACTGGAGTGGGTTGCCATTTCCTCCTCCAGGGGATCTTCCTGACTCAGGGATCAAACCTGGGTCTCCTGCATTGCAGGCAGATTATTTACCACTGAGCCACTACCAGGAGGGTAACTGAGGAGTCTGAGGGGTTGCAGACAGAGATGCTAGTGCTTCAAGTTGGGGGTTAGAAACCCCTCCAGCCCCACAAACGGGCCTCAGCAGGTCCAGGAAGCAACTCCTCTCCTGAAATTGTGTCTCAAGTTGTGTATATGTATGTTTGCTCGTTGCTTAGAAGAGGATCCAGAGCCTTTTATCAGCATGTCAGAGGCATCTGTGAACCCTCAGTTTAAGAACCAGTGGAGTAAAAAAAAAAAAAAACCAAAAACTAGTGGAGTAGAAAGGAACAGATGGTCAACAGAACCCTGGGTGGGACCCTGACTGGCCACGATGGAAGTGACTCTGGTGAGGCGCACTGCAGACGCTGCATTGCTTTGGTTGGGAGCACTATTGATAAGCTCTAGACCCCAGAGGTCCCGCGTCTGGAGCTCAGGGCGCCCTTGCCCCTTGCACTGAGTTTCTGGCTCACGAAGGCCACAGAACCGAGATTCTGCTCGTGAAGGTCAAGGGCTTGACCGCGTGCTAGAGTTCTGGCCAGTCTCTGCTGGCAGTGCTGTTATTTTTGCCTGTACCCTGGACACTGGGGTTGTTTTTGGCAACACAAAATCAAGATGATGCAGAAATTTGGTGGGAAAGGGTAAAGTTTGCAAAACATTGTTGCTGAAATTGAGTACTTTCCTTCAAAAAAAAAAAAAAGGCAGTTGAAACAGTGTTACTGAATTCTTGGGTAGCCAAACAGATCAAGAACCATTTGGGAGCAGGACTGAGTGCCTGTAGGTGGTGCTGGGATAGCAGGGCGGGCTGCGGCGTCTCCTCCAGGCACCCCCCCCACCCCCCCCACCCCAACGCCACCAGGGGGGCAGGTGACCTTCAGTGTGGCGCTGTCTCAGTGCTGTAGCATGGGCTCAACGGAATGGTCTGAGGGAAGCCAAATCTTAAATTTGCTGCCAGAAAGTAGGATTTTTTTTTCTTCCTTTTAATTTGGCCACACCTCACACAAGTGGGATCTTAGTTTCCTGACCAGGGATCAACTCTGTGCCCCCTACATGGGGTCTTAACCACTGAACGGCCAGGGAAATCCCCAGAAATTGGGCTTTAATACTGCCCTTTCACTTGGGGTCCAGCACTGAAACAAGTCCCGAATGAAGGTATGAGAGTGCCCCAGATGGATTCTCCAGCTCCCATGGGCACTGAGCTGGTTCCTGTTGGGCGGGGACCGCAGCCTGTGTGTGTGTCTGGTTCCATGGGGGACCACAGTGTGTGCTCTGCAGAGACGTGCCAGGGTCCCCTGGCCCTGCAGCTTGATGTCCTGGGGCGGGGGAGCCCGACCTCCCCCTCCTGCCACAGAGACCCCCGCCTGGCTCCCTCTGAGTCCATCAGTGAGTGCTGGCGGCAACGCTGCCCCCCATGCACCCCAACCCGGCCGTGTGCAGACTGCGGTTAGCTGTGCTCTGGTCAGCGTTCTCCAGCACTACCGTGTGCTCGGGTGATTTCAGAGCAAGGTATTATTTACCCTGCTGACGTCAATGAGAACATATTATCCACTGTCCTTCTCTGTAGCCTGAAATGAACGCCAGAGCTCAGGGAACACAGCCACCGTCCATACTTTTCAAAATTCCACCCAAGGCCTGGTGAGGGAATGGCCCTGCTTCACCCTCCTGCCATTCAGATCACCTGGGCTCTTAGAAAACAAGTTGTTTTTATTTTAATTCAAGAGGGTTGGAAAGGTAGAAACAGTACATTTTCCTTGCAGAAAATTACCCCATTTAAATTATGTTTGATACAAAGATCATTTATTAAACTGTATTTTAAGCAATTTTCTAACATTGAGTGACAGGTTACATTTTGATTTTTTTCACATTGGAGCTATTATGATTTGCACTCAAAATACCAAAGCTATTGAACTCACCATTTTTTCTTAGTAATTAAAAAAAGAAAGCACACAGAAAAAATAACTACAATTAGATTAATTTTATCAAAAGTAACTCTTTCACAAGCCAAACATCCAGCAAAGACCACCCTCCTCCCTTCAGAAATAAGCAAATAATCTTGCCCTTTCTACAAAGTGCAAATATCTCTATCACTTTTGTTTCCTAAATTGCAACCCCCAAAGAAGCAAATCTCCTTTCTCTGTGGTTCTTTTGCCTTCAGAGATTTTGGTGGAGGCAGATTTCTTTTGCATCAATAGTGGGATGGTATCACCACATGAATTTCCTTGACTGAGCAAATCTTGAACAGAGAAGCATCGCACAGCCCCTAGCAAGGCCCAGTTATCTGTATTTGCTAATGTAACATTATTCCAATCTGGGGTCACATTTTTCCAGGATGTTATTTTGTACTTCTATTTTTAAAGCTCCTCCCTACCCACCCACTTTGCCTCTGAAGACAAAAGTATTCAAAGTATGTTATTTTTTTTAACTCTATGGGCCTTCACTGTAAATATACTCCACCCCCCTCAGGACTGTACTGAGCTCCTGATTCTTTTCTAACCAGGACCCTTTCTTGGGGTTGAGTCTGTTCATCTGCAATGGTGGCTAAAGCTGTGCAATTAGACAGACCCTTGGCATCAAGAAAGGGTGTGTCCTATTACCACCTTCTGCAGGAAATTATTTTATTGTGGGAGATAGAGAAACACAGCATCTGACATGAGCCTGAGCATCTTCGGTTCACTGGACACTGAAAGGCGGCTTCTGAGGGCTCTGTCTCCCCGGGCCTCACTCATGCAGGGCTGTTACCTGGAGGGCAGCTCTTCCACCAAAGCCAGGCAGCAGTCGATTGGGAACAAGGTTTCAGGGACAATGTCATGTTCATCCAGCACTTAACCAACATGGGGGCTTTGCTTATATAGCTGTTTACTCGTGAGATGCCTCAACTGCTACTGAGGAGGGAAGAGTGTCCCAAGAGCCTCCCTCAGCTCCTCTACTCCTGAGCTCTGGGGCTTCGATGTCAGTCTTCACAGAGCTTTGGTTTCCTCAGCCGTAAAAAATGAGGACTAACTGCTCAACTAATTTCATAGTACTGCCATGAGGAATTAGCAGAGATCACTCGTGGAAGTGCTGGGTAAATCAATGTACAAATAGAGACAGACGAGCTGAGCCTGGCAGGAACCAGCAAACCTACCCTGACTGCGGGCAGTGCTGCTGCGTCCTCAGTCTCTGCAGCAGCAGGTGCACGACTTTGCCCAATGTGCTGAAATCTGCCTATAAGATGTGGGCAAGATGGTGGTATAACTAGGGTGGCTGTGAGTCTCCTGGAATCAGCCAGGATACCTTCAAGGGGAGAAGCAGTGAAACAAAGATGGGAGGGGCACTGTGAGGCCAGGGACTCGGGGTCCAGGGTCTGGGGGGCACTGGGGAAGGCAGGCCTGGGTCCCCTCATGCCTACCAGAGGCTGCAGACTGACAGACAGTGCTCCATCATCAGCCCCCTCCCTGAGACCACAGGCCAGGGAGCACCGCACTACCAAACCTGTCAGAGGGATACGTGGATTTGTTAAATTCTTTTGGTCCCAGTTTAGAAAAAGAGGCAGATGATACTGTTCTTGTCTTCCACACATCACTCTGAAGACAAGTTCTAGAAAAACTTCCAGAAGCAATAAAGTGATCAAAGATCCCCACCTGTACAGTGACTCCAACTTACTACCTATTCTCCAGTTTTTACCTTTGATGTCTAGGCACAAAGAGGCCGAGTGGCTGGAGTGGCTTCCGAGGAGGCAGTAGCGACAGCCCGGTTTAGGGGTCCAGGCGCAGCCAAGGTCAGCCCCGAACAGACTCTGCCACTGCTCTTGGGACCAGTGTTGTCAAAAGACCCTATGTATTGTCCCAAAGGAGAACAAACGTGAAAAATTAGCGGGAGTGAGATTTCCCTTAAGCCAACTGAAGTGTGACTCCTCCTAGGGGCTTTTCATGTAATTGTGGCTAGAAAATTCTGACCCCAACACAGAACCCAGTATTAACCTGGGGCTTGACAGCACCTGGGAGGACCCTGCCGGGGAAAGCATTCACTTCCTCACGTCCACACGCGTGAACTGCCCGCACCTGAGCAGGGCCTTCTCTCGACCACGACACACTTGGACCCCTGACCGGCCAGAGCGAAGGCGGCTGCTTTTTACCTTCCTTTTGTATCTGGTTGGCCAGCCAGTCACGCTTCAGCTGTGAACACACCCTTCCCACCTCTAGCAGTTAGGCAGAATTCATTTCTCTAAGAACCACCCTTTCAGGCGGAGAGGAAACAGCCAGTGCCGCCGCGAGAGGGCGACACTCCCGCAAGGCGGCCCCCTCCCTCCCCGTCAGGGCCTCAGAGACTCCCGCCAGCCCCACCAGACTGGCTCAGGTCACAGCTCCAACACTCAGGGAGAAAGGGACGCTGACGGTCTCTGTCCTTGGAGGCCAAGTCTGATGCAGGGAGGGAGGAGTCCTTCCGCTCCGTCTCCTCGTCCTCCTTGACGGGCCCCTCATGTGGAGACTGGAGGATGGCTGCTGTGGAGAACCTCCTTCTGCCGCCTCTGTTCCCAAGGCGTCAGCGAAGGAGGGGGGCGTCCGCGCCGCTGTTTCGGGGGGACCCTCCACCCCCGCCTGCTGTGCTAACGCGCTCTGTTTGCCTTACAGGGACCAGCATATCAGCTGCACGTAAACACTAGAGACACTCTTCCCCAGTTGGAAATTGGAGAACTAGTGCTTTTTTCCCAAAGCATAGACTAATATCCCGGATTTAAAAAAGAAAGCATAAACGAAAAGTAAAGAAAGTACCACACATATTGCACTTTTTGCTGAATGAAGTTTTTACCTCATGTTCGTCTCACCAAAGTGTCTTCAGAGGAGCCCAGTTTACAAGAGGGTGATGCTAAAGGTTATCATACAGTAGTGTACACACACTGGTGTGAGACAGACCGCAAAGGCGTCGTTTCAGAGTACCTCTCTTATAAAAAGAGTAGTACTAAGCCTTCTTAGTGTTACTTTAGTATCTGTGAAGAGAAAACCGCTTGGAGGCTCACACAGGTCACTAGTCAGGGGACAAAGCAAAGGAGATGATCAGATGGGGCTGGGCAAATGCCTGACTGAACAACAGAACCAGTCTCCTCTCACCAGCTTACATTTCAGAGAATACAGATCGTTATGGAATTTATTGATTTCTGCTTGAAATAAATGAGAAAAGCAAACAGGAGCTTACAACACAGTCCAGCAGGACGGGTCATGCTCCTCGCCCGCGGTCTGCAGTCTGAACAGACCGGGCACTGCTGGGTGCTCCCGAGGGCCCACCCCTGGGGCCGTGACACTCCCACAGCCTCTGCTGCCCCGTTCATCAGCCCAGTGGTCCTGCTGGAGCGCCCAGCTTTCCTGGGCTCAGCGGCTCATGGCCTGGTCTGTAACTGCCATCCTGGGGGCTCTGAAATGAGCAGCCCCCATCTTCAATCTGGAAGGCATTTTAATTTCATAAATATTATAGCGCTTCTGTAGAACATTTTGGGAAAACACCCTTCAGTCTAAACAAATCAAGCTTGTTTTACAACTGGCTTATTTTGCAAAAACTTAGAACAGATTAGAGATCTTAACGAAAGGATCTCTTAAACGATGTTGCCTATTTCACAAAATCATCCATCTTAAGCATGAGGAGGAATAAACAATTCGTAGAAGGAACGTACTTCTTCCTTCTTGGGTTTCTGCTGCGTCTTATCCAAAAACAAAAACAAGTCCTCCACACCGCCCTCCCGTGCTCACACCAAGTCCAGCCCCGAGCAGAGTGCCTGCGGAGTGTCCCAGCGCCCAGAGGAGCCGGCACAGAACCCGCAGACCCTGCACGCTCCTCCTCACCTGCCTGGACACACACTACAGAGGAAAGGCACCTTAAGGGTGTTTTCTAGATGCAGCATCAGTGTAGTATCTCTCTTCTCTGTGCTTTAAGGGAGATGCTTTGTGCTTACGCGTTCATCTGCTCACAGGACAAGCCATTCTAAGGGACAGAGATGAGAGTCTTTGTAAATAATACTGAATTTGTATCACTTGGATCTTACTGTCCCAATGACAGATTACTCATTATTTCTAGGTTACACAGTCAACTAGCTGTGGCATCTTTTTTCACCTACTCTGAAGACTGAATTGTAAGGGTTCAGTTGTATGAGTAATATATCATGTTTGGCAGATGAATCTATTCAAATGGTTAACACATCTGTGGTCTTCTGAATATTGCTGTAATACTTGAACATTTCATTCCACATCAAAACTCTAAGGAAATTAAGGATGTGATTCCCACATGGTGGAAAACAAATTCTGAAGTGACTTTGGATTTAGCGTTGACATAAATGGAAAACTGTTGGTTTCTACAGAAAAGAAATTGTTAAAGCGTGATCTGGGGGAGGGGAAAGGCACAGCACTACCACTTCACATGGGAGATAAAAGTTCATTTTTCCTTGTCCTTAAAATTTCTAAGCCCTATATGAAACTGTCCAAATATACAAAGCTCAATAAACAACTAGCAACATCTAGTGTAAAGTCAAAGTAGTTATTACATTTTTAAAAGAGACACGAGGTCCTCGACAGACCAACTGCCCCAAACCAGAAGCCTCCACAGAAGACCGTGCGGGAAGAGCCCGTCTTCCCTGGCCCGGGCCGCTGCTCTTGACCAATTCATGACTTTCCTCCCCTGGTCTCCACTGCCACATGTCTCTTGGTTCCACAGGTGACATCTTTGGGAGCTCTCGGGATACCCTGACACTCGAAGCCAGGCCCTCCTGAGGAGGTGTGTCACCCATGCTCAGATGGAGGTGACCGCCGGTCTCAGGAGTCAGTACCCGCTGTGACTCAGTGGACCCTGAAACAGAGCTCATGCTCCACCGTTTTGAGTGATCTTGGGGACACCGTGCATCAGCAGCTCAGAACTTAACGATTCAGCGACAAAGTACAACTTTATTTCCCGTGCATCAGTTTCAATATGTATTCTTGATTTGCCTTTGAGGAACATGCTGTTGCTTGGTTTCAGTGAAAAATATATTGCCTTTTTTTGCCTGCATATAACGGCACATATTCTTTTTCCTGCTTTCACTGAGGTTTCCCTTGATGAACTGATAAAGTTCTGTGTAAAACCTAGGTCTGGATGTCTTTTTCTTATGAAACTTTTGTTGGTGCCTCCGCTGAGAGCTCCCTCCACTTGACCTAAGGGCATGAGCTGCAGCCGACAACCACGTTCCAGCACTTGCCACAGAAAACCACGGTGGGACAGAGCCAGCAGGAGGCGACACCTGGCTGGCCAGCCCTCCGATTCCAGTTGGGTGACTTGACTTCTTCCCCATCAGGGAGAGGGCGGAAAACGAGCTTTTAAATTTAAAAGGCTGGAATAAAAATAGAAAGACAACACTCTTTTCACCCAAACCGCCTCACTTCCTGTGAAGCTGAGGTTAATTCACGAGGACGTAGCCGCTGTGCTGTGGGTCCACGGCTTCCAGCATTTCACAATCAAAGAGTCCGGGGAACTCGGAGAGCGCCAGAGGGTCGTAGCCAGAGGGGGCCTCCTGCAGTCCTGAGCTCCTGGGACAGTCCGGCCCGTCCAAGCCACTCTGCGGGGTTCCATCCGCGGGGTACTGACCGGGAGCGGGGTGCTCGGGCTCCGGGGAGGACGTGCCCGGCAGCTCACAAGTCTGATAGAACTGTAAGGGGGCCGGGGCGCCCCGCGACTGCTGCTGCAGCGGCGGCGGCGGCGGCAGGGGCGGCGGGGCCCCGCGGGCCCCCGGCGAGGCGGGCAGCGGCTGCAGCCGCATCTCGGGGTACGGGCTGAGAAAGGGGCTGAACGGCATGTGCTCGGAAGCTGGCTCCAGGACGGGGCTCAGGGGCTGGGTCAGGTTGAAAGGCGGCGGCGGCTGGGAGGGCGGCGGCGTCTCCTGGTGGGGAAGGGACTGTGGGTACGAGCTCTCTGCTATCTGCATCTGATTAAAATATGCCTGCAGCTGGGACTGTTTCTGGAGGAAGAGCCGCTTCTGCTGGAGTCTAAGTTGGCAATACCAAAAGAAAGAAGTTTAGGTCTTCTTCAGTGACGGCAATTCTAATGTAAATCCAGTATCAGTCATTAGCGTCCGTCCTCCCACTTCTCTCTTTCCCAAGGCAGGAAAAAAACAAAAAACAAAACAAAAAAAAACGGGGGTAGGAACCGGTCATATTTGGTTTCTTAAACCCAATCTTATTTTTTGTCCCTCAATTCTGGCTGATCCCTCAGTGCTCAAAGGAACACAGTGAATTCCTTTTCTCTAAGACCCTTGGGTTTTTCCTCCCTTTAAAGCAAGGGGCTCACTCCGTCTCATGGGGTTCTGAAGCGGGGGTGGGCCTCTGGAGGACCATGGATTAGGGGACATCTACCTTGCTCAGCTAGTAAAGAATCCGCCTGCCATCTGGGAGACCTGGGTTTGATCCCTGGGTTGGGAGGATCCCCTGGAGAAGGGAAAGGCTACCCACTCCAGTACTCTGGCCTGGAGAAGTCCATGGGGTCGCAAAGAGTCTGAAGCGACTCAGCAACTTTTACCTTCACCTTGGCCGAGATGCTTCTACTAGGGAGGCCGGACAGCACAGATTACTATAAGGGAGGCTGGAGGCCTTCTTTCCAGTAAAACCCTCTTAAACTGCATTAGCGCCCAGGTCCTGAATGCTTAGGTTTATTCACAGACCAAAGGGGAAACACCAGGAGAAAATGAAAACAAAGCAGGCTTCGGGCTGCTCTTCCCCGACAGGCCAAATTCCATGGACAGTGGAACATCTGTGTTAGCATATGGATACCTGTTGTCCTGGTACAGGGAAATTTTAGAGGGAAGGACAATGCACCCAGCTGGAGTCGGCCACAAAGAAAGTGACCTCTCTGGCTGCCACCGTCTCTCACCTATGTTCTTGCAGCTGCTGCTCCAGGCTCCGTGGTGGTTCTTTGCAATAAAGCTGACAGCTGTTCTGGGCTTTTGACAGAAGGCTGGGCTTCTAGAAGAGCAGAAAAATACAAGCATGACATGTTGTCATCTAGGACACAGTCATCAGCCTGTACTTCTGCCTGGGGGATGAACCCATGTGAGTCCTCCAGAAGCTGCAGGATGCAGGGACTGACACTTGCTCACTGAGACCCTGAGAGAGCATTGGGTCAGCAGGCCTGGGCTGTCTCAGTTCTAACTTGCTTTACTTTCCTGTCTCTGAAGTCCTCCAGGACCAGGAGGTTCATGGAGACTAAAAACAATGAGAAAGGTGGCATTAAATCTCTAGCAAAGGCACCTACTGAATGAGCAAATGATTCATTCTTTATGGGATCTAATAGTTTCAAGCACCAATAGAGAACTTAGGGTACCTTTTTGCAAGTATTAAGAGGCATAAGGGCTTCCCAGGTGGCACTAGCAGTAAAGAAACTGCCTGCCAATGCAGGAGAGAAGTAAGAGATCCAGGTTCGATCCCTGAGTCAGGAAGATCCCCTGGAGGAGGGCATGTCAACCCTCTCCAGCATTCTTGCCTGGAGAATTCCATGGACAGAGGAGTCTGGTGGTCCAGGGTCACAATGAGTCGTGACTGAAACGACCTAGCATGCACGCAAGAGGCGTAAAACAGAAGCAAAGAAGCCAGGGTTCCCTTCCCTGCTGCTCAGTGGCAGCACCCTTTCCAGGGGTCTAAGGACAAGCTTTTTTTCTGCTGCCAAGATAAGAGCATAAGGCTAAGTCTGAACATGTTTCTAGAAACTACAAACGCAGAGTCAGACCTGCTTGCCTATAAATGAATTAAGCAGCTACCCAAAATAAATACCAAGCAAAATAGGTTCCTGCTGTGCAGAGAGGCAGAGTGGGGATGATCACGGTGAGCCAGAGCGACAAGGGGGAGGAGGATCCCACCTGGCGTCGGTGCTGCAGGTACTGGGCCTCCAGGCTGTGGCGCTGGGAGAGCTGCGGGTGTGCGCTGTCCCCGGGGAGCGCAGAAACGCTCTTCTGCTGCGGAGGCGCTTCCTCCTGGGGAGCGAGTGGGGGGACACACTTTCAGTTTCCCACCTGGGAGAAAGTTTCAAATCTGAGTGGAAGCACCTTGGCAAACGTCCAAGGGGAACTCCAACTCTGTTAAGACTTAATCCTCAAGGCTTTTATGTATCTAGTAGGCTGAGGGTCAGTCACTTTGCAGAAGAGGAATATGGGCTTCCCCAGATGGCTCAGTGGTAAAGAATCCACCTGCCGATGCAGGAAGCGTAGGTTTAGTCCCTGGGTCGGGAAGATCCCCTGGAGGAGGAAGTGGCAACCCACTCCAGTATTCTTGCCTGGAGAAGCCCGTGGACAGAGGAGCCTGGCGGGCTACAGTTCATGGGGCTGCAAAGAGTCAGACATGACTAAGCAACTAAACAACAGGATGAATGCATGCTGTTTACCCACAGTAAACGATGACTGAGTCACTACGGGAGCAAAGGCCCTGCCGTCACCAGCAATTTATTCCTATCATGGCATCAAACGCTCTAATGTTCCTGATGTACTGAACATGGGCTCACATAAAATGAATTACATAAACAACCATATTTTTTTTGAACTTTTAGCACAAATAACTCATGATATTTAATGAAGTGATATCACATCAAAAATAAATGGCAACAAACTTCTCATTTATGTTATTACTGGTAATCTCTGTGTCTGTGTATGTGTACACGTGCATGGTGGGGGGAGGGAGTTCCAGGGAGACTCTAAGAGAGAATCCATACAGAATCTGTGCGATGAACCGCACAGAGTATGAGCGTGTCTAGGTTTCCATGTGGTGTTGACCACCTGGGCCAGTGGATGGGCCTGCCCAGCCTGTCAGGCAGACACCAGCAACACAGAAAGCTTTCAGGCTGTGGGCTTTCCAAAAGGACCTGTCTGCTCCAGGAGGAGGAAACCCTCTGAATGAAATGACACACCTTCAGGACAGACTGACGCCTAGTTCTCACATAGCCACGGGGGCAGGGCCCAGAGCACCCACCTGCGGGCAACTGCTGGCCAGGTCCTGGAGCTGAGCGGCGGGAGAGGCCAGGCTGGGGTCTGCTTCTGAGCCCATCTGCTCATAGAGCAGCTGCACTTTGTTCAACTCTAGGATTCCTTTGGTTCTAGCCAGATTCTGAAGATGTTGTCTAAATGCTACAATTCCTGAAAGAAAGAACAGTGGCCAAACGGTTTAAATAAAACACAAGGGCTTTCAAGTGAGCACAGGTATGAAACCAACATGGCAATGGACCCCAGGGAGTCCTACAACAGAAGCGCTTAGAGCCAGTGGAGAGCGCACCTTGGGTGAGGGAGGTGTCTGACGCCCGGCGGCCCTCTCTGAAGCTCACTGGAGACCTGTTGTGGGCCTCACGCTTCTGGGCACTCAGGGCCTGCATGGCGGGGTTGGCAGGTCTCAGGCTCACGAAGGGAGATGTCACGCGGGGTGAGGGCGGGTTGGCTAACATCATGTCCTTGAGGGAAGGGTTGTCCTCAAGAAAGTGCAGGTCCCTCTGAACAGACCCCATATCATACTCAGAGTCCACACTGTCAAGGGAGGGGTTGTCACTCATGGAGAAAATTTTCCCTTGAAGAGAAAAAACAAAAACAAAACACCAATATGACCACCAATAAACAGCATCTTCTTGGAACATGGAATACAAAGCATGGCCAGTGTGAGTTTCCACAGTTACCATGTCTTCAACCTCCAACCAGAACATTTTTTCAAAACTTTTTTATATGTCAACTGAATCAGCTTTGAATATTGTGGGGGAAAACATTTCCAGAATTTGGGACGGTATGATTTTTGCCACTCCAGAAGATCCAGAGTCCTTATGAGTTATGTAGCTCTTGGATGAGTCCCGGGAGTTGGGTGTAGGGGGTGGGGGACAACTCACAGACATTCCAGTTTAATCTCTGTGAGTTGCTGAGCAGACCTAATCTCAACTCCTGCTGAATGCTGTCCACAAAGGAGCAGGACACAAACAACATTCCAGGAACTGGCTGGTATCACTACTATCTCCTGGAGCAGACGACACAAGATGCTGCAGAGACTCAACCCGGTGCTTACTAGAAATCATACCTGAACCAGGCACCACGACCAGCTGATTGGTCACTTCCGATAGCGTGTGCCGCCTCTGCCCGCCGCGTGTGGACTGGAAGGTGTCAAAGGCCTGACTGGGGTCTTCCTCGGCCTCGCCTTCGGTCTCCAGCCCTTCGTCAATGGAGGTCTCCATCATGTTGCTCGGCAGGGACTGGCACCCCTTCCTTGCCAGGACGGGAGGCACAGGGTCCAGGAGACAGCCGTTGACCTAAACGTCAGTGGCAGAGGGACGCGAGAGGAACCATCAGTGGCTGCGACATTTGAAAAATCCACAAAGGTAAAAATGTCAAGAGACCTGCAGCCAATCAGAAATTAAGTAAAATATTAAAAATGTCCATATTTGTTACCAATGACAACTGTGGAGACTAGAAGTTACAGCAAGTCAACTGCAGCGCTAAGAGACACAAGCCCATTATGTCCCAAACGGGCGCTGCCGCCCAGGCTTCTCTGAGTCATCATTATTACAATAAACAATTTTTTTAGTGGTTTCCAGATGAATAGGGCATATTAGCTTGAAGCCTACCAGATTATTATTTTTAAGAAGGGAAATGAAGAGGGGGAAGATGAAATTAAAAAACATCCTACTACATGGCTCATAGCTAAGAAAAGAAGAGTCATCAGCATTTTTCTAATTTTCAACCACAAAACATACATGGAGGCTCCAGATATTTATGTTCAGAATCTAAGTGCCTGCACATTTGATTTAGTCTTCAACTGGGTCTATGGACCCCAGGAATGGAAAAAAGAATTCCTTAAAGATGTACATACAACAAAAAAGAATGGAAAAAAAAAATCCAAATGGCAAACGGCCAAAGCCTTCCATTATAGAATAACAAATGACTCAGAGGCCCGGAATTCCAGCAGAAGTTAACGAGCACCAAGGCTCTGAATTCTCCTTCCTCCAGCAATATACCCGGTGTCCACGCTTCCTACCCCAAGCGGAAGAGCTCAGCACAGCTCGTGAATGAGAACTCTGCCTGCCGCTGCAGTTGCCAAGCAAACCACCTCGAGGCGGGCAGGAGCGGCACAAAGGGGCACCAAGGGGAGTTGTGGTTTCAGCTCTTCTGGCTGTAAAAGCCCCAGTGAGGAGGCAATTATTTACCTCATTACCTTAACCATCCCCCTGTGGACACCCATCCAGTTTTCTCCTATGAATAGCTGCTCAGGAGCAGCCAGGCGAGAGGCTGTGTTCCCAGCAGCACTTTCACCTGGAACACACCCGCGAGAGCTATTGTTTCCTCTAGAAGCAGGAGCAGCTCACGCACGTGAGAGGGGACTGGAAGCGGCCGTGCCAGACGCAGGCAAACTTCCTCTCATGGCGACCGCTCCCGGAGGCGCTGCGAGGCCCTTTATTTGCAGAGGGAGACTTGGGCGGCTCAGATGGCTGTTTGCTTGGGGGAGGGGACAGTTATCCCATAAAAACTGTCCTGGGGCTGGAGCCATTACTAGGATAAGGCGGCTAATGCACTAGAAGGTTTTAAAGTGACAAGTGGTCGTTCAAAATGAAGGATGACAGATGCTCTTTTCCTAGACCGAGACGGATCATGGCACTAGGAAACAACAGCTCTGAATGCTGGCCAGCAGCAATCAGGCCCCCCTTCACCCTTCCCCAGATGAGTGTTTCCTTTTGAGGACAGTACTTCAAAACACAGTGTGAGTGAAAGGTATTTCCCAATAAAGTGCTTTCGCCTTTCCTTAAACTCGATCAATCACTTCACTTCTGATAAGAGACCTCACGTGCAGTAGGTAGCATACACGTAGGAGTCAGACCCTCAGAAACTCCACCGCTAATAACACCCCTGAGCTTACCACAAACACAGGATTCTAGTACAGGAGATTGGTAGACTGTTATAGACTTAATGTTTGCATCTCCCCTTAAATTCACACACTGAAGCTCTAACCCCAGTGTGACTGTATCTGGAGACAGAGTCTCTAGAGAAATGTAATTAAATCAGGTCTTAAGGGTGGGGCCCTGATCTGGTAGGATTAGTGTCCTTACACAAAAAGACCCTAGAAAACTCTTTCTATATATATATGAGAACATAGTGGAAAGGCCATGGAAGGACATGAGAAGGCAGTCCTCTACCAGCCAGGAAGAGCCCTTACCAGAAATCATACTGGCCACAACCTTGATCCTGGACTTCCAGCCTCCAAGAACTATTACGAAAATAAATTCCTGTTGTTTAAGCCACCCAGTTTGTGGCATTTTGCATGGCAGCCTGTGCTAACACAGCAGACTAATGCATAGTACTAGCCAGCGAGTCTGGAGGCTGGAACATGCCTTATTTAATTCATATATTAAGTACCTGGCAAGTTTAGCATATGTTGAAGAGGATAAAACCTCAGCTCTTATTAAGCAAGTTGCTTAACATCTATAAAGCTCATTTTTTCCCACTTGTAAAATGAGAGTAAAGTTTTCCAGAAGGGATAACTAAAACACTGTATATATTATCATCATTTCTTGACTGAAGATAATACTTTATAATCACAAAATTGTTTAAAGCATGAGAATAAAGCAACATTTTCTTTTAAAGCATTTTTACCATCTTGAGGCAAATTAAAATAAATAACCAGGTAAGGAAGGAAAGAACTGGATAACCCCAATTCTGGAAATTTATCCTCAGGAAATAATCAAAGGTATAGTCAAAAATTTAGACACAGGGATATTCATATCCCTGAAGCATATATAAGGCAGCAAAAAAAAAAAATTTAAAGTACTTGGTGTCTAAAAATAGGTGAGTAGTTAAATAAGGGTACATCTAATATAAAGCAGTTGTTAAATATAACCCATGCTTTCAAAGATGATTTCATGGTATGGAAAAAAAAATGCCCATGATATTATGTAAAAGCAGGTTTGAAATTATATATAATAGAATAAGATTTTGTTTTAACAAGACTACCTACATGCTGAGTCACCCTATACTCATCCACCCACCCATCCATCTATCTATCCATCTATAACATACTCTAAGGAAACATGTCAAAAATGGGCTTACCTTTGTTTTGGGTAGGGGGATTATGAGTAAGTTAATTTTTTCCTTTATCCCTCTCTGAATTTTCTGTGTGTGATTCTGATTGATATATTTTCATTATAAATTTAAAAATTCAAATTCAGAGGAATTTCTCCCCTTGACTAAGTCTTAGAGGTTAACGCTAATAAAGGTTTTTGACGATCCTTTTAAGACTCTGTCTTATGTGTGCTACCTTTATAATTAAAATATTAAAAATGTCAATAGATGTGGAACAGCTCTACTACAGTTTCATAGTTTCCTTCCACTCTCCAGATATGAAGACGGTAACTTGGAAAATCCTTTTATTATAACCTCTAATAAAATGTTAAAAGTATCTGTGCGTGTGTGGGTGTAAAGTCCATTATCCCCCAAAAACTCTCAAGAGAGAGAGACTAACCCTGCAGGCTTGCTCTGCCCCCGTATGGGCCTCTGTGCTTCCTGGAGGTCGTGGTGACTGCTCAGAGTTGGATGACTATCTCAGAAAGGTGCTATCTTTTGCAGCAATCCCAAAGCCATGTTTCAACACAGACTCCCTGAAGGATTTTACTGACACTTTTAAGTTGAAGTTGAAAACTTCCGGGAGGGAAAGAGAGGTGAAACCTCTGAGAGGCACAGTACCTGCCACCGATTTCGAGCAGAAATGATGCAGCAACAGAGCAGTCGCTTGGCACCTTTGAGACGACAGACGGGCGCTAGGGTAAGGGCATACGAAGCCAGACCAGCAACAAAGGGCCAGTGTCTCTGTCGGAAGGCTTCGCGTGTGCGCTTGTTTATGGGCCCCAGAGAGAGAGGTGCTGGGGAGGGGAGAGGCACAGAGAGCGCCGCTGACATAAATGAAACGGTCCGCGAATACGACAGCAGACGGCTACGGCCTGGCCAGGCGCCAGGGTGGCCTGTCAGTGTGGGTGGCCAGTTCCAGCGTGGCATTGCTCTTCCTACAAATGCAAATATGCCATCTAGCTTCTGTCTATATCTTTCACAAAATCATTCATTTCCTGTCTGTTTCCTGGTTACGGTAACAATCACAAGCTTTAAAAATAGCCTGCCCTATATAATACGGCAGACAGTGCCCAATCTGTGTTTTGGGCCTGATGCCCTTACAGCCAAGCTTTCAGCACACTGCATTTTAATTTTTTTTCAAGGGAATTAGATTTTAAAAATAAATGAATGATGTTGTCCTAATTTATGTCTAAATTTCCGGGTGGGAATGTAACAGCGGTTGATGAGGATCTGAACATGCCAGGCAACCGCAGGCAGAGGAAACAGACTGTCCACAGGAAGTGGCCTTGTCCTCAGGGACACGGACGCTAACTCCTCGTGGTCGGGAACTCAGCTTAACACCTGCTTATGGCAGCCTAGCTTCAGGATGCCTTAATTACCCTCTAGCTGAACATTACTTAACTTCCGAATCAGCTCTACCTCTGTTTCTGAAAATGACATTCACCTTCTTGATCCTCAAGGCTCATAATGCTGTCCTTGGTTTGGACTTCTAACAGTCCATCAATGTCACCTGTGCAATGTCGTTCCTATCGTCGCCTCTTGTTCAGTCTCACGGGCACCACGTGGCTCAGTTCCTCATCAGTCTCCCCTGACACATGCTCTAACCTCCTACTGTCCTTGCCACCAGAACCTCTCCCGTTCAAGGCAGGCTATGGACATTTCCAAGATTATTTCTGAAGTACAACATGGATCACGGTGCTTCCTCATCAAAAAATCTTCAGTTGTTTCCTACACCCTGGAGAAGTCCATCTGAGAAAAACTCTCCTGATAATACTGAAACATGTTCCCATGCTGAGAGCCTCAGACTAGAGGCAGTCTATCTCCTTAGTTTCGCCATTCAAGGCAAGGCTATTTGTCTTTATTTTGTACAACTCCCCTTCACAGGCCCATTCCCTCAGCCATGCTGAGCTCAGGCTCTGACCCGCAGGGACGGGGCTTTCCTGACATCTCCCCTCCACTGAGAGAGCCATCACACCCTTGTTTCCATCCATCCTGATTTCGTCTCTTAATTCCCAGCTCTGACAGTTAAACCAAAGACATTACTGATCAAACTGAAACTGTCTTCTAGTCCTGCAGCATTTTAATTTTTGTCTCTTTAAGGGACCAATTATGTATCAATTTATTCAGCTCTCGGCATCACTGCCGTTAGTTATGCATCCTGTCTCTTCTGCTAGACTACAGACTTTGAGGCAGAATTAATGTCTGAGTCATCTTTTTGTTACCTATGAGGCTGAAAAGACAGGAAACCAATATTTATTGAGTATCTGCAATTTGCCTAGAACCTCATACACATTCTCTAAATTAATCCTCACAACCGTCTCATAAAGTTGGTATCCTCGTTTTACAAGAGAGAATGTAAGTTCAAAGAAATCAGTCACTTTGTCCAAGTTCACACAGTTAGAGAAGAAATGAGTCTATTTTAAACATACTCTAAGACCTGCCCATTAATGTGATCTTCAGTATATCACTTGATGCTAAATATATAAAACAAATAAGAAGTGAAATAAATATCACTGGGCTTCCCAGCTGGCTCAGTGGTAAAGGATCTGCCTACCAAGCCTGAGACCAGGGTTTGATCCCTGGGTCGGGAAGATTCCTTGGAGAAGGAAATGGCATCCCACTCCACTATTCTTGCCTGGGAAATTCCATGGACAGAGAAGCCTGGCGGGCTACAGTCCAAGGGGTCACAAAGGAGTCAGGACATGACTTAGCAACTAAACAACAACAAACATCCATTAAATGAGAGAAGCTATCATCTTCCACATACTAAAGGCCAACTTTATACAGCACACCAGAATAAACTTCTCTCCTTTAGGTATGCTCAAACTGGACACAAAGAGATATTCAGTTGAACAAAAAAGGCTCATCATTTTGTAGCTGCAGCACATGCAGAGGAGGGGCCAAAATAACAGGCAAAGCCCACGTCAGCACAATAGTCACGTTTTTGTTTCCAGAATTACAGTTGGCTTAAAAAAATCCAAAACGTATGAGGGATCTAGAACTTGTGAGAAGAAACTGGTTAAGGAAACAGGAGGAAGAAAGATTCTGAGAAGTACACGTGAGATCTGACGAGTTACATAATCGCGGGGAGGAGAAGATGGAGAGGGAGCCGAGGTCATCTGTGGACACGTTTCTCGGGTCTTCTGCACAAAAACAACACTCCTGAGTGCCTTGAGGAAATGACAAAGTTCAGCTAAGCCCAAGTACAATGTCTGCGGACCACGCTGCCGGTTCCAGCCAACCTGCACACTCGGAGTCTCTCAAACACGTCCGTACCTTTGGAGTGTCGACACCCTCTTCCTCCATGAACGCTGCCTCTGCCTGACAGCCAGATGCGGGAAACGCGAAGGCGTCCACGGTGGATGCCTGTGGGAGGAGGGCAGATCGCATCGCTCGCACGCTGGGTGAATGCACGGTCACTGGGAGCCCCACAGTCTGTGCCTGTAAATACGGCAAGAATGGAAAGTTTGGGAACATTAATCCTCTCTATATATACATAAATGTACAAATCCCTTGAAATAAGACGATTCTTCCTGGTGCAATGAAAGGATAAACAGTGATTTGTTGGGAACTCCAGAAAAGGCGTGATGAAGTATGTACAGGTGTAGGTATCAATCTGAAGCAGTCTCTGCCATCATTCTGAGATAGGTTGTACAAAAATTCGTTCCTGTTCCACGGCAAGGTGCGTGACTTTCAGAGACGACAAGAAAGCTAGTCTTTTTAAGGAAGGTAAGGATGTTCTTTTTTTCCAATTCAACAAACATGTATCATCTGTATCCTTAAATATATTACTCTGGAAAGATAAAAGAAGGATAGAACAGTCCCAATCTCAAGAAGCAGGAGCTCAAAATGGAACCAGAGATAGACACACACACGACTAACCGTAACACAAGGTATACTGCAATAAGGTCCATCTACCTGCATCTTTTCTTTTTGGCAGGGTGTGTGCGTATCACGATGGTACATATTTCTTGGCAAGGCCGTGTGTGAAGAGGAAGAAGAGAGAAGCAGCAGCTACTCGGCCGGGGCAGGAAGGTTCTTCTCTGAAGGAGACGTGTAGACTAAACACAGCCTGCTTGTCCAGCAGAAACAGAGACGCTTACTGCTGAGCAAGTATGTTCATGAAGTCAGCCTGCTCTAGAAAGTCCATTCTCCATGTCTCCTCCATTAAACCCTCTAAGTAAACAGGTATTACAAACTCTTCCTTTGAAAAATCATTTAAAAGAGATTTTCCTTTATGACAATGGTACGGATTGATTGGGAAGATGACACTTCTGGGTAATCCTTTCCTCCCCATCTCTTTAAAACTGGCAGAATAATTTCTCAGATCTCTTTTGAACACAACAGACATTGTAAAACATCGGAGGGAACAATCATTATACCAGTTTCTAAAAGGCAGAGGAATGGCCTATATTTTTTCTGCCATTATCACTTCAAGAGATACAGGATGGTGAGTTTTAAATTCAAGCAGATGAAAAGGAACAGAATGGTATGATTCTAGCTTTTCCTTTCCCAAGACCTGGGTTTGATTCCTGACTCCATCACTTACTAATTGTGTGAACTTAATCAGTTACCTAAACTTTTAAAATCTTATTTTCTTCACCTCCTAAAAAGGGCATAATACCTACTACACAGTGAAGTTAGGGTTGTAAAAGGTAACATGTAAAGTCCTTCACTCAGTAATGTTAATTCCTTTTTTCTCCTTCTTTCTGAAGTCTTAGAATGATGACACAATTTAATATAGGAATTACATTGCAAAATGAATATAATCTTTTGTTTTCAGATACTATCTAATGGTTCTCGGTTAAAATTTCAGACTGATGGTTTTCAATAATGGGGGGTGTGTTAGAAATATACTTTATCCTTGACTATACCTTTGAATATAGAGTATGCTTTATACTCTAACATTAACATCATTAGATATACTGCATGAAATAAAGAATAAAATATAGCAATAATAAAATGCTGGTATTATATGGATGCTAAAAAAAAAAGAAAGAAAATGCACTATAAACATTCTGAACATGATAAAGAAATAGCTTTTCTTATATCACTGCTCCTGAGATCACTTTTGAAACTAAACATTTTTTTTCCCCTTTCCATCACTACTCATTTAAATTAACTGTTTTAGCCACAATGGAAAAATTAAACTTCCTAATAAAGTATATTTTATATATTCTCCTTGCTCTTATCATTGTCTTTTCAATCAAAGGATAAAGCTAAACTTTTGATTTCTGTTTCCTAAATTTACTTGACTGCTCCTTCTTATTAGGGCAAAGCATTACGTATAGACACTGCACTGGAAATGAGACACCAACATGACAGCTAGGATATGGTGCTCTCACTTCCTGCCTCTTCTTAGCTGTGACTTTTTAAATGGCAGGATTGTGCTGGGCCAGATCAAGCATAACACATTTTTCTTGGCAACTTTCACATGCAACCTGGACTACAACAGCTTACCATGAACTTGGTGAGGACAGAGACATAACACATTTTATTGTGACAATCACTTCACAGGAAATACAATGACAGATTTAGAGGTCTGCTTTTTAGGATTCTTGCAGTCATGGAATTAAATAAACCTTTTTGGCACAAGTTACAGTATAAGTATCCATAGAGTATGCCCAACACTAAGAAGTGAAGTTAATAATATGTTATTATAATAAATAGATGGTTGATTAATATCCCAAGCAAGCAGATATTACCAGTTTTCTTCAAGAGTGGCCATAAAAACCATTGGCACATGAAAAGATGCTTGACATCACTAATTATTAGAAAAATGCAAATGAAAACTACAAGGAGATACCACTTCACACCAGTCAGAATTTGCTCTCATTAAAAAGTCTTCCCTGTGGAGAAGGGAATGGCAGCCCACTCCAGTATTCTTGCCTGGAGAAGTGCATGGACAGAGGAGCCTGGCGGGCTGCAGTCCATGGGGCTACATGACGGAGCATGTGTGCACGAGGGTGGAGGGAGATGGGTTGGTAGCAATAAAGTGGTAGAACTGGAAAAAAAAGTCCTCCCCGGTGGCTCAGACAGTAAAGAATCTGCCTGCAGTGCAGGAGACCAGGGATTGATCCCTGGATTGGGAAGACCCCTTGGAGAACAAAATGGCAACCCACTCCAGTATTCTTGCTGGAAATCCCATGGACAGAGGGGCCTGGTGGGCTACAAGTCCATAGGGTCTCAGAGTTGGACACGACTGAGCGACTAACACAAACAAAAAGTCTACAAATAAATGCTGGAGAGAGTGCGAAGAAAAGGGAGTCATCATACACTGTTGGTGGGAGAGTAAACTGGTGCAGCCACTATGGAAAACAGTGTGGAAGTTCCTCAGAAAACTAAAAATAGAATTACCATATGATCCAACAATCCTACTTCTGGGTGTATATCCAAAAAAAATCCCTATAATTTAAAAAGATACACATACTTCTATGTTCACTGCAGCACTACATACAATAGCCAAGACATGGAAACAATCTAAATGTCCATTGGCAGACAAATGGATAAAGAAGATGTGGTACATATATACGGTGGAACACTACTCAGCCATAATAAGAACGAAATAATTTCATGTGCAGCAACGTGGAAGCAACTGGAGATTATCATGACGAAGTGATGTAAGTTAGAAAGAGAAAGAAAATACCATGTTGACATCACTCATATGTGGAATCTAACATGGCACAAATGAAGCTGTCTAGGAAACGGAAAGAGGCTCACAAGACGTAGAGAACAGACTTGTGGTTATTATGGGAAAGGGGTTTGCAGGAAGGGAGGACTGGGAGTTTGCAGACAGTAGATACAAACTCTTACATTCAGAACAGATAAATAACAAGGGAACTAGGTTCAATATCCTGGGATAAACCACAATGGAAAGGAACATAAAAAATGCATACATGTGTATAACTCAGTCACTTTTCTGTATAGCAGAAATTAACACTGTAAGTCAATTATACGTCAATAAAAAATTTTTAAAAAGAATGGTCATAAATAATGACCACGTCCACTAACTGCAATAACATTTTAGATCACATATGTATTATCTTGAATCTCTCCTCCTGATTTTATGCTTTCCAGCACCATTAAAATAAAATGCTTTCTCCTACGGGAAAGATCTTCAGCGCTCCTGAAGGACAGCTGAAAACTAGCAGACAGAATCCACAATAAAAGGCATATTTTTTAGCAGTCATCACAGTCGATCAGATGTCGTGTTTCCTGCATGCTGCTAAGTCACTTCAGTTGTGTCCGACTCTGTGCGACCCCATCCCTGGGAGTCTCCAGGCAAGAACGCTGGAGTGGGTTGCCATTTCCTTCTCCGATGCATAAAAGTGAAAAGTGAAAGTGAAGTCGCTCAGTCGTGTCTGACTCTTCACGACCCCATGGACTGCAGCCCACCAGGCTCCTCCGTCCATGGGATTTTCCAGGCAAGAGTACCGGAGTGGGGTGCCATTTCCTGCATATTATGTGGCAAATATAAGTACTCTCAATCCATCTAAGATGGGAATCTCACTGTTTTCTAAGTAGTACTCATAGACTATTTATCATTACACCATAAATTCCCAGGGGTTGCTTTCTGGGCACCTATGAAACCATGATGGCTGGCACTGTGTTTGACACATGAGTGCTCTATCTGAACTGAACTGCTGGAATCAATTAACCAATTTCATCTCTGTAGGAAACTTGTAAACTAAGGAGGTACTGCTGTTTTCATTCTATAGTTAAGGACACCAGAGCTCAGAGATGCTGGCTTGCTGACGTCATTCAGCTCGCTACGGAGCCCAAGGTCTGCCTGACTGCACTGCTCATGTGACCTCTGCATGGGATCCTGTGACCTCCCCGGTTCCTATCACTCCATCAAGTAATAAGCGATCTGCTACTTCTTTAAAAAGAGAGCAGAACATCAAAGAATTCAAGGGGATAGGCTCTACTAAAACTTTAAGCATATTTATATTCACAAAAACAGAGAAATCTATTTTTTAAGAAGTTCAACATGAAACATGAGAAGGCAGTCTCATAGGAAAGGGAGAACTTCAACCCAGCGCCTGCTGCTTGGCACTCAGACGGGACTCAAGATGAGTCTGTGAACAAGTACTTCTACTATTCAGATACATTTCAATCACAGGAAACAGCTTTCTATGATAATTTAGGTCAATGTATACAATGAAAAGAACTCAAGGGGTGCTCGGTAATAAAAAATAATTATCAAATAAAAGAAGCTATGCTAATACATCTGAACCTCAAGCCAAATGAAATACAACTTGAGATCTAAGGAACTTGCTTCAAATTTAGCTGTGAAAAGGAAATCATGTACAATAACAGACGCGTGTGCTTGGAACAATCGTTTATGTAACCCTCACTTGTGTAACATCTCAGAAGAATAGAGACCTGGGAGGTCAGCTGCTCAGTGTGGGGCTTTCCTGCTTCTTATTTTGCTGCTGCGGCATTTTCAAGAGGGAAGGGTCTCAAAAATACACAAGCAACTCCTGCAGCTCAATTCCAGAAAAATAAACTACCCAATCAAAAAGTGGGCCAAAGAACTAAACAGACATTTCTCCAAAGAAGACATACAGATGGCTAACAAACACACGAAAAGATGCTCAACATCACTCATTATCAGAGAAATGCAAATCAAAACCACAATGAGGTACCATTACACGCCAGTCAGGATGGCTGCTATCCAAAAGTCTACAAGCAATAAATGCTGGAGAGGGTGTGGAGAAAAGGGAACCCTCTTACACTGTTGGTGGGAATGCAAACTAGTACAGCTGCTATGGAGAACAGTGTTGAGATTCCTTAAAAAACTGAAAATAGAACTGCCATATGACCCAGCCATCCCACTGCTAGGCATACACACTGAGGAAACCAGATCTGAAAGAGACACATGCACCCCAATGTTCATCGCAGCACTGTTTATAATAGCCAGGACACGGAAGCAACTGAGATGCCCATCAGCAGACGAATGGATAAGAAAGCTGTGGTATATACACACAATGGAATATTACTCATCCATTAAAAAGAATACATTTGAATCATTTCTAATGAGGTAGATGAAACTGAAGCCTATTATACAGAGTGAAGTAAGCCAGAAAGAAAAACACCAATACAGTATACTAATGCATATATATGGAATTTAGAAAGATGGTAACGATAGCCCTGTATGAGAGACAGCAAAAGAGACACAGATGTATAAAACAGTCTTTTGGACTCTGTGGGAGAGGGCGAGGGCGGGATGATATGGGAGAATGGCATTGAAACATGTAAATTATCATATGTGAGACGAATCGCCAGTCCAGGTTGGATGCATGAGACAGGGTGCTCAGGGCTGGTGCACTGGGATGACCCTGAGGGATGGGATGGGGAGGGAGGTGGGAGTGAGGTTCAGGATGGGGAGCACATGTACACCCATGGCGGATTCATGTCAATGTATGGCAAAACCAATACAATATTGCAAAGTAAAAATAAATAAATAAGTAAATAAATAAATTAAAAAAACTGGAGAAAAAAAAAAAAGGGAAGGTCATCTCCATTTTCCTACTGCTGCCGCAAATTTGGAATTCTCATTTTGTCCCCCCTCTATCTTGAAAGCAATACTGCTCCACTTTGAAGGATTACAAGTGCTCAGAGATACTTCAACCCAAATATCTGGAACTTTGGTGATACATTATTTTACTCACATTAGTCTCAATATTCACATTATGGGAGATATTAAAGTATGTATAACAAAGCATATCATTTGCCTATTAAAATCATGAAGATTTCAATTTCCTTGGGTTTCTTTTTCCCATACTCTGGAGAAGTCAATGCAAGATTCTATTATACTATAAATTTTGTAGGACTGCCAAACAAGAAATACAAAGTGAAACCTCTTTTGTTCTTACTCCCACTTTAAATACAATACTCACAGAAGTAGATGGAAATCCTAAAAGATCGTGTGAATGATCTATACAGGCCATCTCCCAGTTCTCCTTAGCACCAGCCTCCTTCTGGGGACCCAGGTCCATTCTTCCCCATCAGCTGAGTTGCCAGCACTACGGCTCCCTCAGCCTTGGGCTCAACCATGGAGCCGCCTCTCCTTGTCCCTTCCTCCTCAACATTATTTATTCCTTATCACTTATTATTTATTACTAAGTGCTGAAAAATTATTTACTAATTTAAATAATTAAATTATTTAAGATTTAATTTAATTTAATTATTTAAATAATTTTAAGCATCTTAAAATTATTTCCACTTTAAAGCTTGAGAAACTGAGGCACAGAAAGACCTCAGGTAACTTTTTTAAGGTGCACAGTAGGAAATGGCAGAATCTGGGACATGCTCCAGAGACCACCATGCTGGGCTGCCTCTCCCGACCAGGGCTGAGTTCAGCCAGGTCCACCTGGGAGAGTTCCTCATACTTGCCCTTCCTGCCACTGGCACCATGATAGTTCAGTCTTCAGTATTTCTCATCAACTATAGTCATCTAACAGCGCTCTCTAAATTTCTTCTCTCCCCTATCCAGTCTGTCCTTCACAATGTTAGCAGACTGCTTAGCTTAAAGTGAAATATAATTTTATCACTTTTCTTGCTTAATAGTCTTCAGCAGTTCCTCATTTCTTCCTGAATTATTAGTAAACTGAAGCTGAAGCACCAATACTTTGGCTACCTGATGCGAAGAGCTGACTCATTAGAAAAGACCCTGTTGGGAAAGATTGAAGGCAGGAGGAGCAGGGGACAAGAGAGGATGAGATGGTTGGATGGCATCACCGACTCGATGGACATGAGTTTGAGCAAGCTCTGGGAGATGGTGAAGGACAAGGAAGCCTGGCGTGCTGCAGCCACGGGGTCGCAAAGAGTTGGACACAACTGAGCAACTGAACAACAACTGTCTCCTTTACCTTGGCATTCAATCCCTTCACAGCATGGCTTCAACTTAACCACTCCGACTCTTTCATTTCCCTATTCTTCAAGTGAATTAATGTGAACAAGTCTACGCTGGCCCACTCGAGTACTTCTGCTCACACTGCTTCTGTCTACATGTAATGCCTCTAGCTACTGCCTCTCCTGAGCAGCTGTGAGGCTCCATCTTAAATGCCATCTCTCCCACAAAGCCTTGCCCGATCAGATGTACCTCTCTCCCCTTTGCCCTTTTTCTAAAGAATGTTCTCTCCATCACACATCTACACAAGTTCAAAATGATGACATTCATAGCATCTTCTAAATTTTGCCTTTCATTACTTTCGAAGGATTGCTATTCATGATGTTGTCTTATTTTGCTTCTATAATGTAATGACTCTGAGGGCACGTTTATACATCCTGAGGGTACATTTTATACATCTTCTTCCCTGTAATGCCTAATAAGTGAAGCTTTCACAGTAAATCTGCAATAAAAATTTATTAAATGAAATTGAATGTACAGACTAATTGCATTAATTCTCAACATAAATGAATGATTAAAAAAAAAGAGAAGCCTCTTAAAGAAAAAAAACTGTCTGAAATAAAATTAATCCTTACAAATAGGAAGATGGTAAAATGTTTGAGAACCTAGTAAACGACAGACAGAAACTTTACAGAAAAAAAGGTGTAGAGGATGAAATCCGAGTCTTTTGTACTACACCATGAAAAACGTGTCAAGCGTCTGAACAGGCATACGCACCGATAAGACTATTGGCTAATAGGGCGTTACCTTGGCAACTGTTTGTTCGGCGATGGTGCTAGGCCGACGCTGGCGGGCATCAAGTCTCTGCTCCACAGGAAAACTGCTCCTGTGTGATTTCAGGCGCTCCACCAACAAGTAATAAATGGCAGCAAAGTGGTTATAGCTCTTGTTCTGCAAAGCCTGCAAGAGAAAACAAGTGCCAAAGGCAGAGAACCATAAAAACCAATTCAGTGATTTACACCTTTCTAAAAAAGGGGGGAAAAACACAACACTACAAATCAACTATTCTTCAATAAAATTAAAAACATAAGGGGATATACGTATACCTATGGCTGATTCATGTTGAGGTTTGACAGAAAACAACAAAATTCTGTAGAGCAATTATCCTTCAATTAAGAAAATAAATTAATTGAAAAAAAGAATGCAAGGAGTCTGGCTAAAATAAGTAAATAAATAAAGAAGGGAGGGAAGATATGTGTTCTTAAAAAAAAAAAAAGAGTAACAAGCAAAGTATGCCTCAAGACAAAAGGTATTCCAGAATTCAGAATAGAAGACAGATAACTCCATTAAGTGTATAAAGGGTGATACCTCTGAATGACTTGACTGGCCCTTTCACATTAATTGGATCCATTTATTTTTCTGCATGCAGAGAAAATGCCATCACTGTCTCATGCAGACGTTCCCCAACACTGTCACTGCAGTCCCATCTCATGGCTCTAAGGCTGGTTAGCAATCTGAGCCCACAGGCTCTAATTCCACAGCCTCGACACAGGCCCAAACCACTGCCACCCCTGAAGTCAATGATTAAAGTCTTCGGGGAAATTTCTGGTGATTATTTTAGGCTGGAGAATGGCATCTGGACACTAGGTTGAGAGACGCTGTGTCTCCATTCTTAGGTAATTTTTTCCTCTTGTTTTTGCAGTCCCACCCTCTTGAAACCTTGAAAATAAAGTTGCTTCCCAATTTTTCACATCCCTGGCCGGCCAGCTCTCCAATGATGCTAATGAAAAAGAAAAACAGCGGCTCCTCTGGCTTCTAATTCCACGTGACAGGCTGCATAGGTGCTGTGCCGTGAAGCTCGGGCGCAGAGCGCCGGCAGCAAACATCGCGGGCCGAGGGAACCGCGTTCACAGCTGCTGTCATGGGCAAGGACAAAAAAGCCTCGCTGACCCTGTGATAAGCAAAAGCAGAGCAGTGTGGCTTCACTTCTGGCTACAGTGAAGGAAAGGCAGCACGGGCCACAGTACTCTGTCTTCACTGGGGCGTATTTTATATTCTTGTTATGCTTCATTCTTAAAAATACTGTTTTTGACTGCTGTGGAGGTATTAAAAATATGTATATCCTATGAATATGCTAACTACTAAAGGGCAGAAATAAAGCTGATGAGGAATCTCCCAGGTCCATGACCTTCTCAGATCTATGACCCATACAACTTCCAAATCAGGAATCCACCTGCTGTTGTTGCCTTCTGAGTTTCTTCAGTTCACAACTAAATCCCACTGGTTTTCCTAAACCTGATGTCTTCCCTTCTTCCTTCATGTTCAGCTCTCTGCCTTGTTCTGTATCTGCACGCTTATGTTCCATATAAACTAGCTTATTACCTGTATAAGAGTTTATGTTTCATCTTAGAAGAAACTTTCTACTGTTTATTTGTTAAGTTTTCATCACTGTCTTTCCTCAAACATACATAAGGCTTCCTTTTGAATTTTTTGGCATATGCGGCAAAGGCAAGAATTTATATATTGATTTAAAGAGCAACCAAAAACAGAGTGTGCTGAAATCTCCAGGGAACACTGACCTGCACGCCGAGGCGCTGGTTTGGCCAGAAGACCAGGATAACAAGTATGAGAATGAAATTTTAAGTTACTAAGCATTGATACAACAGAGTCCTGAAACATCTTTAGTCAAATCTCCGATCCCTTTACCTCGATGGTTTTCTGTTGATCTATTCCAAGGCCGTGCATTAATCGCAGAACCTGCTCATTAAACTCCCCGATGGACGGCTCGTTTTCTTGCCCTTGTGGATAAAGAACAGGCCTCTGAACGGGAACTTCCACGAGCATCCACTTATGCTCCTTGATTTGCGCTATGGTCAGCCGTTTGGCCGGGTCCAGGACCAACATCCTTCGAATCAGGTGCTCACAATCTACAGAAAACACAGTGTTACAGAAGTCATGTGATTTGCCTTGCACTGAGGGGTATTTACCTGACTTGTGACTTTGTACAGTGGTGATAATCTTTGTATCCTCCACAGTGTCCACTGGAAAGCAGAAGGTCAAATGAGTAAATAAAACCTGAAGGCTATTTGCATTCATCCAGTTCACACAATGAATGCTGACACGTGAAATTAACCATCTCCGTGAATGAATACTTAAGAAAAACAGGAGGATGTAGGTCTATTCAAACCTGTACTAAACGAATCTTCCTATTGAATTTCTCAATTGAAAATATCTAGACACAGACTTAGATTTCCACTAAAGAAAAAGAGAGAGAAAAGTCTTCTTCCTAGAACAACAAATAGCAATGGATCCTTCCGGTCACTTCTGAGGCTGATACACTAAGATTGTGTGAGGCAAGGCCCTCCAAGGAACTGTTGCTATTCTCCATTTCAGTGCAACTGAGAAAAATGTGGGTGAAACAGCAGTTACTTCTGATGACACAAAGTGAACTGCACTGCCGCAATTCTGGGCACTCACTTATCCTCTGAGCTGATATCACCCTCCTTACTACCCCGCATAAGCTAACCTTCCATCACGAGCTAAGCGCCAGGCACCATGCTAAGAGCTCGACACAGATAAATTTAATTAATCCCTCAACATCCCTGTTAGGAACTACTGTTATTTCCATTTTATAGAGTAAGGAAACTGAAGCACAGAAATATAACTTGCCAAGGTCAGACCACCAGTAAGTGGTGGACTCAGGATGAAACCAGGCAGTCTGGCTCCAAAATCCACTCTCTTAAGTACCAGAACATTACTTCTGTTACTAGGAACTGGTAAGTTAAGGATGATAACGAAAATCTAAACTGAGTGAACTTAACTGCTGCCTATGCAGCAACTCAATACAAGACTGGAAGGGATTATAGCACTTCATCTTAATTCAGTTGTTTTGCTAGTTGGTTTCAAGTTTAAATAAAAAGCTTAATTTTGTAACCTCCCACCAGAAGATATGGGAAAATCCATTTCATACTTAGAGTGACATGGTGGTAAATCTGTATCTACAAAGTGCTTCTCAAAGGCTAAAATAAACACCCAGAACACTCACAGACGAGGGCAAATGGGAAGATTTACTGTTCTTAATCTGGGACACTCTCTGTTCCACTTACAAGTAGGAAGGCTGGAATTTCTCTTACCTACATGGAGGGAGTTGCTTATTTCTATGACTTTTAAAGTGACTCAGTCACTTTATTTGGCACCCAAACTCTTAGAAAAAGAGAAGTCTTTCTTTAGGCATTCATTTGGAGAAAAAATTCTGTAAAGCACAATTTTAAGATAAACAGGTTGTTACCTTCTGACATGAAATATGGAATCCGGAATCTTCCTTCTAAAACTCTCTGCCTCAAAATTGGAAGAGTTGGTCCATCAAAAGGTAGAGCTCCACAGACAAGGACGTAAAGAACCACTCCCATGCTCTGTGGAAGAAAATAAGGCTGTAATTTCTCTACTGAGAACTCTGAACTCTCTCTTTTCCTAAAATATCCTCAAATTCTTAAAATTATATGGACTGAAAATTTCTGTTTGAATTTACTACTATCTCAGAAATAATTAAAAAAAAAAAAAGCTGAAAAGCTGACTACTGCAATAAAGCATCCTATAATAAACACCAAAAGAACTAAGCTTAATCATTTTGATTACTAAACTTTAAATCACTGCTGATATTAGGATGATAACATCTTCCCCTAGAAATTCTTTCCTACAATTTTTACTCTGATTAATTACAGGCCAGTGGACAGGAAAAGTATGAACTACTATCTATGTGTTAGGTACCAAGAGCTTCAAAATGGGCCAAAATGATAATGTGTTATCATTATAGATGCATTTAACACAGCAAAGCAAAGAAATACCCAAATATCCAGCTGTGGTCCTTCATACTGCTGCCCTTCAAAGACTTCTGGGGCTGCATAAGGGGGGCTGCCACACCATGTTGCCAGCAGTTCACCACTTTTAAAGAAATTTCCAAAACCGAAATCTAGTGGGATGGAAATAAACGTTACTTTCATCTATGCTCTGGAACTATACTGAATCTTTCATACTGATTTTATAACACGCTGTGTCGACAACGCCACTACTAATGCACTCTGTGAGCATGGGGCGGCCGGTGACTTGTGGTGTTTCCTTAGCGTTTAGGAATGAGAAGCAATGAGGAGCAGGCATTAAGCATTCAATGAATATTTCTTGAATGAATGTGTTAATGAATTAAGTTTTCTTCTCAAAGAGAATGAGTGAGAGGCTGGAAAAAAGACTTTAAATCATATATTTTTAAGGCTGAAAAGAAAAATTCCACCAATAAGGACAACCAGCTTGAATTTGGTAATTTTAGAATTTCAGTGACTCCATGATTTAGAGCTCTTGAGCTTATACAGTCTCTAAAGAAAGAAACAAATGAGTGAAACTCTAAGATATTTACCTAAACACAACCAAGGGACTGGCTGCTCTCATAGTCATTACCCCAAAGCAGCAAGATAACTTTTTAAGGCAATGAGGACAGTGTTTCCTAAGTAACAACTCTCTCAAGTGTTGGCTCCCACATCCTGAATAGACAGATCTCATCTGAATAGCTCATTAACATGTGATGGCTCTGTGGCTCGACCACAGGCCACTTATCATCATTATCACTTATTTACTCATTTTTGTAACATGGTGGCATTATACTTCTAAACAGTTAATGGCCTTCCCCTCATGATATCAGTCACACTGAATCTGCAGCTTTGATATACAGCATATGCACTCTGGAAGCACTGTACTCAGAGGCCTTCAATACACACGGAAGTTACCACGGAAGACAAACACAGTGAGCACTCTGGTGTAAATGCAAGCTTCTGCTAAGCCCTCACGGAGTCTCGTGTTCTCAGCGGAGGAACAAACTCCTGTTATTTCGTAAGTTACAGCCATACTGTCTTTATGCTGCAACAGACTCCTGCCTGAAGGACACACCTTAGTGGTAAGAACTGGCTCTCTGGCTAGTGTCTGCACTGCATGGAGGGTGAGCTTTCAGAGGTACCCCCAGTGGGTGGAGCAAGTCTCCTGCGCCAGACTGACTGTCTGTGGGACACAGGCTCAGCCCTCCTGAGCCTCAAGCGCCCCAGCTGTGACACAGAAACACGTGTAGCCAGCAGGGCGCTGTGCAGAAACTCAGACTCTACTCCCGTCTTGAGGCTACGGTGCACTTCTCTCCTTAGTTTCAGTTCTGGCTGCGCTGGGCTTTCCCCAGTCGCGGTGAGGGGTCTGCTCTCGAGCTGCGGTGCGTGGGCTTCCCAGGGCAGTGACTTCTCATTGCAGAGCGCAGGCTCGAGGGCATGCGGGCTTCGGTAGCTGCCTAGTAACTAAAGTTATTTAACCTTCCTGGATCTTTCTTTCTGTACCTATAAGTGTGGGGGTAATTTGCCTACCCAGATAGGATGCTATGAGGAGTAAAGGAGATAAGAACGTAAGATTCTTGATTCCTGGAGCACAGTAGATGTGAAGTGTTAGCTCCCTTCTCCTTAAGTGAAGCCATCATTACCAATGACTGCCCTTCACAGAAATGGGTCCTGAGAAAATACACCGGAAGGGTAAACAAGGTGTGGAGACGGACTTTCCTGGTGGTCCAATGGCTAAAACTCCAGGCTCTCAATGCAGGGGGCCTGGGTTCAATCCCTGGTCAGAGAACTGCATCCCACATGACGATTCCGTGTGCCGCAGTAAAGAGGGAAGATTCCACATGCCGCAACTGAGGCTTGGCACAGTCAAATAAATAAGGAAACAAGCAAATGTCAGAAAGAAAAAGAGCCGTGGAGAAGCTTAAGGGTTCAGAAGAGAAAAGATGGTGCACATGGGGAGAGGGATGGTGTGTCTAAACCTGGAGGAACAGCGGTGTGGTCCATCCTTGGCGTCCAGAAATGCAAGGCAATGAGAATGCCTCCCTCCATTATGCAACTGCAGTCAGTCCTATACTTGGCTTTCCAAACTGACTGTCAGAGAGGTCTTATCTTCTCAACCCCACCTCTATACCTACCAATTCACACCCCATCACAATCCTTGTGTCCATATTGACAGGTATTTCTCATTTTCTAAAAATCTACACTCAAACCAGCCAAGGACAGATGGTCAAATAATATCCAAAGAGGAAGATGTTAATTCCAGTCACATGGAGAAGCACAAGAAGCTCTGGGATGTGTGTCTGGAGATCCTGAAATAGGTCCAATAATTGCTGTCCTTTAAACCATAATCACAGGATGAGTTTCAGCACATGTAAGTTGAGGACACTCTCCAAATAGCACTGTTACATTTTAATGTCTCAAAGAGCCATTCTCAACCCCTTCAATCTGAAACCCTTTCCCCCACCCTGCCCCGACTCCTGTAGACTCCTGCAGAACAAACTCAAAGAGGTACATGGGCCTGTCGGCTTGGACCCCACTCCCCTCAGCAGCCTCACTGGGCGCTGCATCGGCAGGAAGGCACAACGGTAGGAGAGCACCGCAGTGCCTGTGGCGGCCTGGACTCAACCTCGGCTACGCCCCTCTGGGACAAAGAAAGCTGCCTGCTGCCGCAGAAGAGGAGGGCTACTACACAGACGTTACCTCTACTTCCTGTGGGTAACTGAAGAGAATAGGAACTTGAGCCCGCAGGAACATTTCAAAGAAGCACTGCAACACTATCAGGTTCATTAGAATTATTATAATAGCATTTAGGTAGATGTCGTCTATAACCCTGTCGAAGCATTAAATATTTTATTTGTAATCATGTGATCTATGGGTTAAGGAGGGCTTTGGAGTCAGGCAAATCTTGGGTTTTCCGCTTAGCTGTGTGATCTTGGGCAAACTGATTTCTCAGAGTCCTGGTTTCCTCATTTGCAAAATAGAGACAATGTCCACGCTTCACAAAGTGACTATGAGCAATATATAATGAGTATATGTAGACATGTACACTTAAAGTAGATAATATATAATGCTTTAGGTATGCTACTGAAACACAGCAGGTGCTCAATAAACAGTAGCCATTGAGTAAGCTACTCAATACGAGGGAAGAATAGCAATTCTCTCTGTTTTACTTATCTGTCTTCCCTATGAGACTAAACTCCTTGAGAGTGCAGAAGGGAGACTGTACCCCCAGACCCAGCACACTGACAGCAGCTGTTCAATGAAGGTTTGCTGAATGAATATGTTGTCATCATCTCTTTTAAAAGTGCCAGAAGCTGATCTAAGCTTTCCTAAAATGATTTCTTCTTAATAACCCCATGAGGTATCCTTATTCTAGGAGGAAGTGAGGGTAGGATGTTAAGGACCTTGCTAGAAATTATACTAAGCTGCAGACTTGCAAGAGAAACCAAATCTGACACTGTTAACCACCTTTATGTCCTTCTCCGGCCCAGTGACATGTAGCTATTTTTTGAACAAGTTAATAATTATCAGGTTTAAGAAGTGGCAATGGGAAGACACTTAAAAGTCTTTTTGTTTCTTACTGGAATCTGGACAACTTGCTTTGTTCACAGTCTGCAGCTTTCTGCTTAAAGGCATACAGTGAAACAAGGGGTGACCAAGAGGGATGAAATATGAAAACAGTAGAGCTATGCAGGATTTTTTATCGTATTTATTCATATGGAATGGGTTAATGCTTCAGCACATGAAATTCCTTCCTTCATCAAACATCTGAGTGCATACATGTGTCAACCATTCTAAAAACAAAGAAAGACAGTCTCTCAACAATAGTGAAAAATCAAAGACCCCACATTATTATCTGACTTTTGAAAAGCATTATGAACAGTCACATGTGCATTCCTCTCTATTCTAGACCCAGACCCAAACTGTCCTGCTGGAAAGGAAATCTCCTTTTAGTTTAATGCCTAGTTTAATGTCTTCTCTAATGCTTCGATCTGCAAGTGAATACCTCAAATGATGGCCGCTATTTCCTCAGACACTTTTTTATTCTTGTTTCTCTGTCATAGAATGTATGCCATGTTATGACGGATTCGTTTTGATATTATTTAACTTTGAATTCTGAAATAAATTTAGATTTACTGAAGAGTGGCCACAATAAAGTAAAAAGAACTCCTTCTGTTCTTCATGCAACTCCCTCCTCTAGTATTAACATTTCATATAACTATAAATAATCAAAACCAAGGATAACACTGATGCAACACTGTTAATTAAACATGGACTTCATTAAGATCGCTCCAGTGTTTTCATTAATGTCCCTTCTCAGTGCAGGATTCCACACTGGACTCAGCTGTCATGACTTCCTTGTTGTTTAGTTGCTAAGCCGTGTCTGACTCTGCCCACGGACTGCGGTCCACCAGGCTTGGTCTTCTCTATTTTGCAACATTTCCTCAGGCTGTCCTTGTCTTTCTTGACTGTGAACAGGGCAGGCCACATGTTTTGTAGGCTGTCTCTCAGTCTGGGTTTGCCAGGTGTTTTCTCACGATTAGATTAAGATGATTACTTTTGGAGAAGAACAGCACAGAGGTGATGTATTCCTCTCAGGGCCTCATATATGGGGGAGCAGGTATTATGCCTTAATTACAGGTGGGGTTAACCTTGATCTCTTGATTAAGGTGGTATCTGATGGGTTACCCTATTATAAAATTATTTTGCCCTTTGAAATTAATAAATATTTTAGAGAAGATACATTGACACTCTATTTACCCTATTCTCCTTAAACTTTCACCTGTTATTTTAGCACTCATTGGCAGATCTTGACTGTAGCAATGATCACTGTGGTGGTCTAATGGGGAGCTTTTGTTTCCTGTGTTCTTTCAACAGTATAAATTACAACTCTTCAAGAGTTGTCCCTTCTTCCCCTCTTATTTATTTATTGATTAGAAAATTTCTTTATTTTTTACAACACTGTCATATTATATTCATCATAACTGTTTACTTTATTCTTTGGATTACAATTCAATACTGAAAGAAGAAAGTGAGAGTTTAATAGCTCAGTCATGTTTAACTCTTTGCAACCTCATGGACTGTAGCCTGCCAGGCTCCTCTGTCCATA